CATAATGAATGGTCCCCTTTAAGAGTTTGTGTATGTCTCATGAAGTGTACCGCAGCTGATGGTTATTTTCGTCCCAAAGTCCCTCACGGTTTTCAAAATGGCGAATTATCATGAGACACTCGTTAAACCATATCTCTTGTGATTCGTCCTGGTTCAGCCCCGACACTGGCCATCGCTCTTCTGAATCATGGTTTTCAGGGTCTCACCTCTGCATGTTGACATTGTTATTGATTTGAACGTGAAAGCTGCCTCATCAAACGTTCTCACAGTTCTGCGTTTTACTCCCCTTAACCATACAACAGATGCACGTGAAGTCATAGACTGGCCTTTATTTTGTATTGGTTAACTCTAAGGAACAAGCGGAACGAAAACATCGTCATGTTGACATTTTAGGGAAGGAGAAGGTGTTGACGTCGAGGAGCTGCCGGAGGAAGAGTCACAGTCAGCTTCTAGTGAGTGAAATGTTTTCATCTGGTACAAATTCAACATATAGCAACTGTGATTTTTTAATGTATATCCACGAGAATGATCAAGATTAACTTTATTTTTCGCAGTAGATCAGTATGTTCGTGTTGAACGTGATAATTTTACTCCATTTGAATGATAGTTTTGTTTGAATATGTAGTTGTTGACCCGCTCCACATGTGTTTTTTTGGTGGGTGGGTCAAAATGGGAAACCAAGCAACTAATTTTTGCATTTTTGTAAAAGAAGAAGAAGAGTATTTACCTATGAAAGATTCCAATGAAGACATTGTCAAATGGAGAGCAAAAAAATTAAAACCTTCCAATTTATCAGTAATAAACTCAGAGAAACATTTTATGGTCTATTGCCACTGGTGTCTGAATAATTGTAACCCTAACCCTAATAACCCTAAGCAAAAATTAATACATTAATGCAGAAAAGTGGTGAGAAAAGTATCATATTTCAAAACATAACAACATGGGCTCTTTATTTGGTAATTGTCGATCTGTACTTTGCCCCATTTGTGTGCAATACATGATAAGATGCAGGCTGTCTAGAATTGACATGTGATAGGGTGAAGTCCTAGGCAGCTAAAAGCGAATTTGATCAGTAGATAATATCTTAGCACGCGAGAACTGCATGGAAAATTGACTAACAGTAGCATTTAGTTCAAAGTGAAATTTTTTCATTGGAGTGAGGTTATGTTGTAAAATTTAGGTTGTTTACTGGAAAATGGCACACTATCTGAGAAAGTCTAGTCCATAGCAACAATTTAACATGTAATTGTACCAGGAAATTACCTTTTAAACACAAGATGACTTACAGAAGCATGGAGAACTTTTAAAAGCAAAAAAAAGCAGATAGTCCACATCACAGTTGACGCAGAAAGTAAATATAACTTTGTGATCTTTTCGGCTTTTGTAAAAGGAGCAAACAAAAGGCAAAAACTAGATTATTGATCAACTATGCTTTATGCAAATGCTTTGCACAATTTTTACTGTAGTCAGCTAGACACTAGCCCTTCCAAAACAAAGGTTCTAGTGATAATTTCATAAAAGGCCTTAAGCTGATGGCATGTGCGTTGTAAGTGAAGGAGTGTTACACAAAAAATTGGTGCAAGCATACCTCATCGCTGTGATCTGATTAGTGTGAGATACATACCCTACTGCTGAAGTCAGATTAATTCGAGATACATATCCTAATGCACCCATCCAAGATAAATACCTTTTGATATGCCAACGTGGGGGCATAGGGTGTGTTCATTGTCACCTTTGTAACCTTTGCCATACCCCTCCCCCCTGGTCCTCTATTCCCCCCTCCCCCCTCTCTTTGAACCTTTTGTCCCTCTCTTCTCCCATGTTTCTGTTGGGAAATTGAACAAAACAAAGGTGTTTGATAGATTAAGGATTTTTCTTTACTGAATGAAGTAGAGGAAGCAAGACAGTGGGCTACAAAGAAAATTGAATGTTTTCAGAACCAAAGTTAAAACCATATCCTTGTACTATTTCCAGATTTTCACATTTCCAGACTACCAAGTTAAGATACATGCAACAATCGTTTATATAAGGCCTATGTCCTCCCTCATCTTGAGTACTGCAGTCCCCTTTTACTGGGAGTAGGTAACGCGGAGACTACAAAAATAGAGACAACTAATTACTTTATATTAAGAACTATATTAGGCTTCTCGAAGTCTGTGTCATACGACTTCCTCCTCAAGTTGGCCGACATTAAGTCTTTGGAGAATCGTGAGGCAATTCCAATCGTTGGTTATGTTATATAAGTGCTTGTATGATAAGGGGCTCCTTATATAAGTGATTTTTTTTTCATTTTAGAAATGTACCGTATAGTTTACGCGGGCTCAGTACAAGGCTAGATTTACCTCCTTTTAATCTTGAGTTTTTACATCGGTCTTTTTCATTTTTAGCTAGTAAACTTTGGAATGCGCTACCCCTAGACTCAGAGAATCTCAAGATATTGCTTCATTTAAGCGTTCTCTTAAAGCCCACATGGCTTAATGGTAGTGATTGTAAATATCGTTATTGTTGTTAATATTGTTAATATTGTAACTTCTAATTGATAGCTCTTGTCCATGATTCTCGATCCTGTTTTTAGCTTTTTAATAGATTTACTTACTATTTGTATTCTTACAGAAATTATGCTTTATTTCTAATTGTACATACACGCATTACACGTTTTAACGAGAACTTCTGTACTCCTAGGTGTCACGTGTTTAAATAAAGGATTGATAAATAAAGGATTAAAGAATTAGTGGCATATTTTCAGAATTCCACATCTCCAGACTACTGAGATAAATGCAAGTTAAAGACTAATATTCATATCTCTAGATGTACCAAGTTAATATGCTTGTGAGTAAGCTAACTGACATATCACATATTTTTACACATTTTTCTCTAAGGTGATGAATTTGATGTGCAGCACATTCCATTGTGATGACATGTTCTGTGCTCTTCTACCCCAAGTTAAAGCCCAATTTGTTTATATTGAGACAAAGAACTAACAATAATTGCAGATGTGCACATCTTAACCCTTTACTTCCTGGAAGTGATTAACATGTAGCTTCTCCTTGTTGTATCCATTTGTTTTCCAGCACAAAGGTAATGAGAATACCTTCAAATTTTTATCTTGATCTAACCTCAAATTCTCAAAACTAATTTAAAATGAAATGTATAGCAGCTGCAAGGGAGAAGTAGCATTCAGTCCTTGGAAGTTAAAGGGTTATAAGCCTCAGAGAACAGAAAACATGGTTATAGTTGTTACGAATACTTAAGATTAAAATTGTTAGTAGGTGACAGATTCACATGTTCATGTAAATAGGGTATTGAATATTTGTTAACTTGTGAAAGAAACTTGATTAAAAATAGGGTCAAGCAATTTTTCATTGTGTGTTAACCCTTTAAGCCTTTCACTCCCATGAGTGACCAAGACAGAATTTCTCCTTACAATATCAATACAATATCAAGCATACAAGTGATGGGATTGAAGAAAATATCAGCCAGGGGAGGGGATTATTAGTTGATCCAATACCAAATTCTCAAAACTAAACATGCATATTGTGAAAAAACTAAACATGATTGTGTATGATGAAAATTTGGACCAGAATTTTCAATATCTGGTTGGGCATTTATTTGAGGTAATATCTATTTTCATTTAATGTTTTAAAGATGTTTTATTGCTGGTTTAAGACAGGGTGTGGAATTTTGGTCTAGGTTTAAAATAGGGTTGGAATAATTTTGTATTTCAACCTAAGGCAGGGAAACAGTTGATTTAAAGAAGGGTGCTATCTCTGCTAAAGAAAAGGTATTACTGAAAAAAGCCTCTATTTGAGCTGATCATGTTTCTCAGATAAATTATTTATACCTTTGTTTGATATTGAGAAGGCTTTACCAACCCCCCTTCCCCTGCCCCACCCCCATTGCCTTCCTTCATCCAATTTTTGTTTTGTTTCAAAACTTTTTGTAAAGCTCTTTACTCAGTCTGATATGTCTAACCATAGGGGCTGAATGATAGCAACACAAAGAATAAATCTGCTTACATGATTTATTCAACAATCATCTGATAAACTTAGGAGTTCCACTCTGATCTACTAATACTAGTCAGTGAAATCTCAACTGTCAAAGTCTTATCATGGTAATAGTAACAGGCAAAAAATATGTGAGAAAACACTTTAATATTTAAAGCTACTGCATACATCTTAAAAAAATTGTGTAACGTAATATATGTCTCACACCACTAACCTACAATAAAGTCTTGTCTTTGAAAAGTAATGGGTTTCCTTATTTACAATTTCATCCGCAGACAGTATGAAACTACTCGAACCGGGTCGCTATGATCAACAAGAAAAACGAACACACAAAAAAAAAATTTATCATCGGAAGCGATCTGTATCGTATTTACTCATCTGATCTGCCTATAATCTCTAAAAGAACTTCAATAAACTAAATAGTAAACTATTTCTTGTGACAGACATAAGTGATCAAATCATAGAGAAGCATGCAGTAAATTTTGGATCGAAATAAACCAATCATAAAATAACAAAGTTTCCTGAGAGGTCCGAGGTTTGTTTGATTTCTATGCAGTAAGGTTTGTGTTTTACTTCAATGTTATTGGCTCGTTTACAAAAAAAAAAGACACTTTGACATTCTTTGTTGTCAATAAACATGTTCATTGGTTCATTTTTCTTCATTTCGATCCGGTTCAAATAATCTCTCTGCTCTGAGCGCTTCGCAAACTTTGTTTTCTTTCGTTCTTTCAAGATTCCAGTGGTTGTGTTGTAATTGTCATTGAGCTGGTTACCTCACATTTTGAATTGTAAGTGATTATTTAATTTTTTTTTCAGATTTAACAATTATTTGTGAATTGGCGATGTTACATAAAAAGGCAACAGCTAGACTGACTATTGTTAAGTAAATTATTTGCGTGTCGTTTACCTGCTTCTGTGATTTTATTCTATGAGGATTAACGTGTGTAGCTGACAGTTGTTGCTGGAGATGGCTTCAGCCAAGTGCTGTGCTCCAATGTCTGAGATGTTATTTTCTGAGAGGTCTAACTCGCGTAGCTGACAGTTGTTGTTTTTGATGGCTTCAGCCAAGTGCTGTGCTCCGATGTCTGAGATGTTATTTTCTGCGAGGATTAACGTGCGTAGCTGACAGTAGTTGTTGTTGATGGCTTCAGCCATGTGCTGTGCTCCAATGTCTGAAATGTTATTTTCTGAGAGGATTAAGGTGCGTAGCTGACAGTTGTTGTTGTTGATGGCTTCAGCCAAGTGCTGTGCTCCAATGTCTGAGATGTTATTTTCTGAGAGGATTAACGTGCGTAGCTGACAGTTGTTGTTGTTGATGGCTTCAGCCAAGTGCTGTGCTCCAATGTCTGAGATGTTATTTTGTGAGAGGTTTAACGTGCGTAGCTGACAGTTGTTGTTGTTGATGGCTTCAGCTAAATACTTTGCTCCTTCGTCTGTCAATTGATTTGCTGCGAGGTCTAACCAGCTCAGTTGAGATTTACTACATTTTAACAACTTACAAATTTCAAAACAACCTAACGGACCAAAGTTATTGTCGGCCAAATCTGAATGTGAAATTTGTTGAACATTCTTAATTACAGTAACTACTGAAGCACAATCAACAGGTGTGAGTTGACAACTATTAAAATTTACAAAATTAAAGTTAATTTGTTGTAGTTTTCTCTGAACTATTTCCTCCATCGTACTACTTTCGTTAGTACATTTAAATAATGTCACTGCTAAATGTTGTTTGTACATAGTCGGCCAACAAGTTACTTTCCTTGGCTCCATATCCAATGACCACTCTTCGTTGTACAACCCGCTTTTCTCTTCAGTTTCCACAGGAAGAAGGTCTGTGATGATTTCGCTCGGTAGGTTTTCTTTCTCGTTCATTAGTCCTGCTAGAAACTGAAAAACCAGCTGCCATTTGCCGTCCGCGATGTTCATAGAAACAAAGTTCCTCAGTTCTATTTCATTCATGTTTGCTAGGTGCCTCGCAGCGAAAAACTCTTGCATTGTTAAATGAATGAAACAGAATTGTTCCTCGCGTTCGAACGCGTCAGGTTGACGGTCTGGTAAGTGGTGAAAAAGAGCGCTGTCTTCCATTCCGCCTACTTCCTTTCTTCCAAAGACCAGCCTTCCTTCTTTAATTCCTTCAAATGCAAGTTTTTCAAGTTTCGAGAATTTCTTTTCCACTTCAGGGGGCAACTCGTCTGATTCCAAGAATTTACTAGCGAAATACTTGCCGCGGAATTCTTCGTTGTGTCTGAAGTAAAAAATTTTCGCTGCTTTCTTGTAAATAACTGTTAGATTCTTTGGTAGGCTAAGACTCTTGGAACCATAGAACTTCACCATTTGTAACAGAGTTGAGCAAATGATGAAGCAACTCGCAGGAATGTAGCATAGAGAGAGAATGTTCCTGTTGCCGCCGATGTGTCGCCATAGTGATTCTCGCGCATCCTCGTCCTCTTCAGCACTGAATTTGTTTACGTATTCTTTGACTTGTCGGGATGAGAAGCCGAGGATCTCGTAAATTTTGTCGAAACGAACATGGTCAATAATGCATGGCAAAGCCGTAGGTCTTGTGGTTGTCAAAACGGCAGCTCCGTTGAGAAGTTTCCCAGTCGCAAGCTTCTCGTACAAGGCGTATAGGGGCATCTTCTCGTCTACGCGGTTTCTGAATTTAGGCTCGAAATTTTCCTCGCCGATCTTTGAATTATGTTTAAATTCATCGATTCCATCGAAAATAATCAGAACTCTTTGAGGGTTGTCGAGGATGTAATTCCAGACTTCATCATCCATGTGATTTGAGGGGGAATATTCTGACAATGTGAGCAGTTCCCTGAGGCTAAGGTCGGGTGCCGCGTTGAATGCTCTGAATTTGATAAAGAAAGTAGCGTCGAAATGAATTTTGGCATCAGGTGAGTCATGGAATACTTTGTTAAATGCCCAGTCTCTGAGAAGTTTGGTACAGCAAAGTGTCTTTCCGATTCCAGGACGACCAACAATCAAAACGTTTTTGTTTTCGTGGTTAAGAATGTCCTCCGGCCCTCTAGGTGTTGTGTTTTTAGTCTCACTTGATCTGGCGTAGACTTTCAGTTTCTCATGTCTGTCTCCAGTAAAGTCATAATTAGCTATGTCTGGAACAACGGCAAGTTTAGTGTAAATCTGATCCAGAGTCAAATGTTTAGCTGGGTGTCCTTCGCCGGGAGTACTTGGAAAAGGCGACCGCAGTTGGGGAGGTCGATTTGTCTCATCTTTAATGACTCTCTTTGTGTTCTCGATGAATTCCTGAAGCGGTGGTTTTTGGAGTTTTTGAGGCTTGCTTGGCAGATGTGGGATGTTCGTTTCATTTTCTTTACTTTCCTCTTCCTGGTGTTGTTCTTGTGGAACGTTCGTTTCTTGCTCTGTTCTTTCTTCTTGAAGCTTGCTTGGCAGATGTGGGATGTTCTTTTCATGGTCTTTACTTTCCTCTTTCTGGTGTTGTTCTTGTGGGACGTTCGTTTCTTGCTCTGTTCTTTCTTTTTGAGGCTTGCTTGGCAGATGTGGGATGCTCGTTTCATGTTCTTTACTTTCCTCTTCCTGGTGTTGTTCTTGTGGGGTGTTCGTTTCTTGCTCTGTTCTTTCTTCTTGCTGAGGAGGTTCAGGTCTCAGCATAGTCGATGTGGTAGCATTTTGCGAGTTGGTATGGAAGGGATTCAGGTGAGCCTCTAGAAACTTGGAATTTTTCATGAAACTATCCTCTTTCCACGCTCGTAGCAAAATATAGACGGTTTCTGACAGAATGCCAAAGAGAAAAATTCCGTTCACGACAAGAACAGCGCGCATCCAGGAGTTTTTCTTAGTTGCTCGTTGATTATGACACTCGTACCAGACGCCAGTAGAATTCCTTGGCTGACTCCCTCCAGAGGTTAGATAACAAGGAAAGTTGGGGGGAAAGCCCAGAGGATAAAGAAACTGACTTTGTAGAACCATAAAGAGAACTTTTAAAACAATCCTTGCGAAAAGTTGACAGCAGTAAGCGATAAACAGCTTTTTACTAGAAAGTGCGTTTCTTTGGTCGCCCAACTGCCTCTCGACGTCACCGTTACGAGCGCTTGGCGACAGTTGATCGACTGTAGGGCTCGCTATTTGGGAGTAAATAACACAGACAGTTCCGATGAGGAAGAAATTCATGATCACGAAGGTATAGATAGGAACATCGTGTTTGTTATACTGCTTCTCGTATAACTCGAAACATCTTCCACGGACAAGGTCGATGTTTCTACCCTTCGTCACGTCACAGCGGAAATCATACCTGGATTCGCTGTTTTCTGCGTCTGCAAAAATGCCAAGGAAGATTACACCGATCAGGATCCAAATAACAACTGCGGCATGGCTGACTCTGTTAAACGTTTTTGGTCTAAGTAATTCCTTAAGATTATCCATTGTTAGCGTTTGTATTCTCACTGTTTTCGATCAGATGAAAATCGCATTATGTCGTAAGTTGAAATAATGAAAGTATGGTGACTTCCGGTCAGTCATTGCTACAGAATTCACAGTTTCTCTATGGGAAGTGCTACAATTTTAATTCTTGGCAAAGTTACAGCTGTCAACTATTCATTTGTTTTCACCTGTCATCTTTTCTCGATCACTCAGGAAGCTGATATGGGAAACGGAGACAGAAAACTCCCTAAACATATCTCTACTTAAGGGCAGAAATGCACGCGGTGACCGAAATGGCAGATTTGACGAAACTTTGTCAAACCGAGTGGTGGTTCATGGATTTGACGATTTTGACGAATTGTAGTTAAATTCGTCAGAGCGAAATCAGCTTGGCGAATTTAACGATTTTGACGAATTTTCGCCGTTTTTGTTACTGCACACATTTCTAGACTTTTTTTGGAAACTGAAATGGACACGTGGTAAAAGTGACATTAATCCGAAATTATTTGAAAGAGGCTTTAAAAAGACAATCACAAGTATGGCGAAGGCTTTTGGTTTCTGAGGCAAATTGCACGCTTAGTAGTGTAACAAGAAGAGATATGATTCTTCGCTGCACAAACTCCTTCACCTTCCCCCTCTACCAAAGCCAAAGTAATTTTCTAACTAATTACGAGCGCCTCTAATCACGCCTTGGTTGTTCGACTTTCATTTTTTTTACCAGTTTTCAAGATCGTGTAATTTTTCCGAGATTGACTTGTACGACTGCCAACCGTGATACAAAAGTGAAGACATAGGATACATACCCGTATGAAAATGAAACCACGGATCATTTCCAGCGTCAAAGGATCTCTATTGTACTGATTTTTAGAGATTTACATTGATGCAGAGTACCCCGTCATTTCTTTGTTTGTTTGTTTTTTTTTGATTTCATTTTTTTTTGCGAAAGTTAAGGGATAAGAATAAGCACTTAGAGCGAAGAAACGATGCAGTTGCAGAATAGTAGGTTGTGAAAAAAATCAGGCTTCGACGGGATTCGGACCCGCTCCTCCCAGATACTAGTTGAGCACCGTCGGACCATCTAACCTGAGGACCTACTTAAATTTGGCCGTTCCCTCTTCCTTCATGCGGCTACGCAGCTCAGTTATAGTCTCGGAAGGCACGGGCTTGAAACCCCTCCGATTTTGAACCTTCTCAGGATTTCAGGCTTCTTTTTGGCAATCACTTCAACTGCAACTTATCTGAGAAGATCGGTTCTTCCACCTTACTCAGTGGTACTTTATGTGGCGAGAACTTTTATGATTTTGGTGAGACGGTATTTTGCGGGGTTATACTTTTGTGATCTCAAAACAAGGCCGGCAAATACAAAAGAAGGGAATTAAAATTCGCGATTCAAGCGTTTCAAATTCATTTTAGTTTCCAAAATGTCGTAACTTTTGACGACTGGACGAAAGATATTCGAAGGAGTTTGACCCATCTAACCGATTCAGATGAAGATGATAGCGAGAATCTCTACTCCATATGCGAAAACCTTTGCAAATTAAAGACAACACTTCACAACAGAAATTACAAAATAAACTGAATTACCAGTAAGACCAGTTAATAAAATTTTTATGTATTTGCCGATACACATCTTGTATATGTTGTTTTTTTTCACATTTCAGATCATTTTTTCTGTTATTTGAATGTTCTATAGGGAATTAAATTTTGCGAGAATTTTCATCCGCTGGACAATGATTTAACCTTTTTTCTACAGTTGCGAAAAAGGCGAATTTAAACACCAATAATGTGTACCACCCACAAGCCAAAATATCGTAGATCTCATTTATTGAAGTTAACAGTATCGCTATACACGTCGGTCTTACAAATCGGAATATTAACGCGCATCGAGTAATTCTTTTAATAAAAAACCGCATTTTCCTTAAATTTTCTTTTAGTTTAAGGTGGCTGAAAACAGTTTCCGAACACCTACTGACTGTAATGGAAGCGCTCAAAAACCAACACTGCCTCTTCGGTCTCCTCGCTGAGGTTGAACCAATTTCACACTTGTTGACTAAAGGATTGAAATAGGGTGCGTGACTTGGCAATCGCTATTTTTATGCTAATGTTATTAAACAATTTTTGGGGACTGTATCGGAAACTCCTCGAGCGGTATCCTCGCAACTTCAAGATTTTCTTTTTCGCGATAACGCGCCACTGTTGGGAAAAATTTAACGACTTCAATCTAACCGTTTCAACGTTATGATGCTGCTGAGTTTACATTTGACTGATTTGAATCAACGTAAAGAAATCGAAAGATTACGTTTTGTTTTTCGTTAGACAAATTTTCAACATGTCCTCCTGTTTGTTACCAATTGGCGACTTGTCGAAATTTCAGTCGCCAAATGTTCTCTCGCAATGGCGACCAAAATGGTTGGGGCTTGGGGAGCTGCGCTAGAGCCTGAAAGATGCTATATTATAAAATGATATGGACAGTTGGCAATCCTCGTAGTTTTATTTAGGTTTGTTTCTGGCAAGAATGTGAAAGGTGGAGTATGTTTTCAGGGAGATTTGTTTTCAAATTAAAATAATTGAAATAAAAGTATTAGATCCCAAGTTTTGTCTGCATTCATAATTAATAGAGCTAAGCATTTGGTGTTATAAACAAACCACATTACCACAGTTTGAAATGAAAAACAAAACAAAACAGTTTTGGAAGTGCTTTTTTTTCTACTTGGCACCTTGTTTTTCTCTGAAGTCTCTAAAATGCTTTATTTGCGTCAACTACAACTTCGAAAGTTTTTATCTTTGCTTCCTTTGAGTTTTATTTTGGCTTCTTCGAAAGAGGAGAATAAATGAAACCTGAAGCGGACCGCGGTGGTCGTAATTAAAATATTTGGGAGGCATTTTTAAAAGTTGACATGCACGCCCTTAAACCTGTTAAACCGCTGAGGAAGGGGGACATCGGGGTCTATTAGCAGCCGCAATCATCCAAAACCACACAACCGCAAAAAAATTGGATCAAAACCGAAAACCGCATGCAAAACAGTCTTAAAAATTTCAACATCCTAGTGATCAAAACCCTGATCGATCTGATGCAGTGGTGACAAGTGGAGCATACAGAGCTTTTTGGGGCTATTCGAGATCAGTGGAGACGCTTAATTGCCGCTCAGATCGCAGAGAAACGGGACCCAAATAAGAAAAACCGAAGTTTTCTGGCACAAAGATCGAAAAGCCAATCTTAAAAATAGCCAAAACCGCAAAACCCAAAATCCCAATACCCCACCTGAAAGTGACTAGGATCTAATTTCTCCTTACAATATCACACCTGAATCAAACATTGAGGTCACAAGAATACAGGGAATTATCACCAAATAAACCAGCTCTTGTTTGTTAAACAAATTCTCCTTACCAGCCCCTCAGGAAATCTATGGCAAAAAGTTTGGAGAATATGTATACTGATCTGTTAGGGTGTAAAAAGGTAAACATAAATGACAGGATATATCAAACCTCAACATTTCACCATTCAAAATGACAAAATGGGACTTCAAACAAAAAGGCAGAGACCACTCTGTTTTTATTTTTTTAAATCAATATCAATCTAATGGAGGATACCACTTAGTCTGGTCAAAATCAACTAAATAATGATTCAATACTAGCTAGTCTGTACAATTTTTCATAACTGAGCATTGTAATATTAATATAATCATGTTCAACTTTGACTTTTTGACCATAGTATTCATACAGTCAACTCTTCATTAAACATTGATGTCCTTCCTTCCATTCAGTTGTCATAGGGGAAATTTTATTTACAAATTTCATTATTTTTTTTTAACAATGATTTACTGATATGTTTTCTTTCCTTAAGTTATTTAGTGCAAGATTCTATTCTCTGTTCTAAATGATGCTGCTATTATCATGGGGATAATTTTAAATTCCTAATGAATAAAAATATGTTAATTGTACAGTTCAGTTTTCCTACATTACATGACAGTTAGTAATATTGTCAGTGTGAAACATTAATTCCTGATTGGTGCAAATTACTACAAAACTAAACATAAATTGGAAATAATGTTTTACTCCTTTTGTGTTTGTGGTAAGATTTAATCTAGAGTGAATATTCAAATTGGTTTCTTCAATGAAATGAGAATTTGTGTGCTTGTTTTTGAGTAATGAAACATTTTGACGTGAAGTGACCTCAAATATTTGTTTTCAATTGAAGGTGGAACAAATTGATTTTGCTATCACAGTTGTGTCTGTCTACTTGGTCCACTTGAATCAAAATTGCGTTTAAGCCTGTCAGGATCTCTGGACGCCATATTAGAAAAATCTCTGAACACATCATTGAATGTAACATCACCTGAAACAAAAAAAATGACAGCAGTTAGTCCTTTAATCCATGACAGTGACAAGGTTCTGATTTCTCTTTACAATCTATCCCTTATATCATATGTTCAAGTCACGAGAATGAAGGAAATGATCAGCAACTAACGAAGTTCTTCATGGTTTTACAAATTCTCCTTGTTAGACCCTTGGAAATGTATAGAGAACAGTATGGAGAATATGCATAATGATGTTGAGGTGTAAAGGGTTAACCTTTACACCCTTTGGAGTGATTAATGAGTAATTTCCCTCTGCAACTACTTATAATCATGGATAAGTAGAGTGCATTTGATTTATGGTATCATAATATTTTTCATCATACTGCTTGCCCAGAAATATCCAGGGATAGTGGACTTTCATTGTAGACAAACATGATGAACAATACAGTGGTTAGATTACATTGCTTACCACTCCTTAAATTCACAGATAATTAAAACAACAACAACAACAACAACAACAACAACAAACAAACAAAACAAATCAGAAAAAAATAGATGGAGCACTCTTAAAAAGATCTTACCCTGGGCAATCTCATTATCTTCTCTCATTTCTTCATTCAGTCTTGCCAGTCTCAACCTATAAACAATTTCATTTTTCACCGTCTAGTAAATGTTGACAAGTTAGAAATGGACCAAAAGCAGCTATATGTTTACCGTAATAGATACCAAAATAACCTGACATCCAAAAACAAGGTGTAGATATAAAATTTACAATTCCTAACAATGATTCTTTCACAAAAGAAGACAATGACTAAAGACTGCTGTGTGTGAATTCCAATTCCAATTTTTTGGGATTCTTTCATTCAACTCTTGAAGGATAAATAAAAAAACCAATTCCTAGGAACAGAATCATAATCAGGCAATATCCACTGTTATATTGCATTTGTATACTTACAGAGTAACAATATCTGCATTTGTTTGTTTTAGTGCAATTGTAAGAGGGTCCTGAAATTAACAAAAGAAATTGATCAAGAAACTTTCATGAGCACTGTTTTTACCGCCACTTGTGACCTTTCATGCAACATCTACTGCTTCCTCTGTTTTCCAGGGGAACACAGATTAATTTGGAAGGAAAGACTGGCAGTTCATGGGAGGTTGTCTCCAAGGGCTTTTTTCATGCATCACTACATTATGTTCACACTCACCTCTCCATTCTCGTCAACATCATGCTGGTTACCTCCTCGCTTCAGGAACAAGAGGATAGGACTGAAAATAAAGGAGCAGTATTAATATAAGTGATGACAGATGATGCCACAGCTGGGTGAACTGTTTTAAGCCCTGGCCACACCACTGTATTGTGTTCTGGAGATAGACACTATGCTAAGGAAAGAACTGGTTGCTAAGAGCTACAGGAACTAGGTTTAAGTACACATAGTTATGGAACTTTTACTGGAACACGTGGTTTTAAGTCTTAAACTTACTAATATTCATACATTGATAATAACAACTTGAAGCAAGAAAGAAAAAGAAATAAAATGCTTTGCCTTACAGAAACAAGCAAGGTTCTTAATAGACTCACAAAGACTGTAGGAAATAGTGAAGGTCAGAACAAAAATTGTTCTAACAAAATAGTCACAGGCCACAAAGGATTGTGTTTTCCAATCTTCTAGGTGAGAGAAGCCTACAGGAACTAGGTTTAAGTACACACAGTTATGGAACTTTTACTGAAACATGTGGTTGTAAGTCTTAACCTTACCAATATTCATATACTGATAATAACAACTTGAAGCAAGAAAGAAAAAGAAGTAAAATTCTTTGCCTTACAGACACAAACAAGGTTCTCAATACACTCACAATGACTGCAGAAAACAGTGATGGTAAGAGAGAAAACGGTTTTAATAGAATGTTATTTTTGATCAACTCACCCTGTCTGCCCAAGAAGTGCTGCATGATGAAGTGCACCTCTTCCCCTCTTGTCTTTCTGGTTTATTTTAGCTCCATTTTGTAAAAGGAACTCACAAGCTGGTAATGATCCCTTGAGGAAGAAAAATAATAATTTCATTACATGATGACCCTTCCATGAAGGAATTGCAAGTACTTAGCATAGCAGAACACCGTCAACAGAAAGAGTCAAACCTACCCCTAAGACAGACTGGTGAAGTGCTGTTTTTCGTTCATCTTCCTCATTTACCCAGTTCACTTTGGCACCTGAAAATTTTCCATAAACACTTTCATGACTTGTACATTTTTGAGGAAAGTGGAAAGTTACACACAATTTGTGTGATTACTGTAAGTATCACTTTCCAGAAATGTCTGTGCAGCCATTAAATAAACAATAAGTGCAGCATGTTCTTGTCTACCTTCTGCAAGTGATGCAGCCATAAGAGGAAGACTCTTCCATTCTGCTGCTTTGAAAAGTAACTGCAACAAAAACCCACAATTAAAACAAGTCACAAGCAATGTCATGTACCATTAAACTGTTGACCCCTGAGAGTGACCAGCATCTACTTTTTTCTTACAGTATCACCCATGAATCACACATTAACATCACAAGAATAAAGGACATGATCACCAACTAAAGAGGCACTGAATTGTTAAACAAATTCTCCTTGTCATCATGTCACTAAATGTATAAAGAACAGTATGGAGAATATGCATGCTGATGTTTGAGTGTAAAGGGTCAATAATCACCACTAAGTATCAACTTAATAACTCTCAGGACATTACAAAACAGCATATGATATAGAAAATAAATATTAAATAGATAGTGCAGACCTCTTTATTGAGTAATTAAAGGTGCATACCCTACTGGGATGAACTCTTTTCAACACAGTGATCGCTTTCTCCTTGTCCTCCTTCAGTCTTTTAGCCTCCAGGTCACCATCCCCATTATTCTGCACTCTTTCACAAATGGTTGCCTCGTGAGTCAGACCATCTTCACTTATGGTTGAATCAAATGAAACTCCCCTATCTCTACCCTTGTCAGAAGACATAGCTGCTCCGATGGAGGCTGCCCGTCTCCTCTCACTGTCTTGACATGATGTTGATGGAGCACTAGTTCCCGGTCTGTCCTCATCATGTGAGTCACTGCTAGCAGTCTCATCACTGAGAAAACTTGAAGCAACATGTTCTAACTTTTCAGAGTCTTCACTTGCTACATCCACAGAGAGTATTTCAGCAGGGGCACTCTTTCGGTTGTCCATCTTTGACTTTGACTTCACAGCAAGTTTCCGTTTGAAAAGTTTACTTTTTTTGGAGTCTGTTCTCTCAACGGCCAAATTTGTGCCCCTTTCCTCATGGTGAACTTTCATTCTTGCAAGATTTCTAATGATCCCTTTGTCCAAAGTTTGACAGTTTTTTAGAAAGGTTTCCAGGGAAACAAACTTATGTTGTACATATTTTAACTTGATCCAGGTCTCTCTTTCACCCCTTTGACAAAAATCATTTGATAATTATTTTCAAAAAATGTTAACTACAAAAATTTAGGAATTCATAATTTATTTAAAACAACAAACAGTACCTGCTACTTTGAGGAGTTGGTTTCTTTGTATGGGAGTTGACTTTTGCTTCAAGAATTCCATTCACCAATTCATTTCCCAATTCTGTCATTAACTAAAAACAAAACCTTAAGTTACTATAACATTCATTTTGTTCTATTTTACCAAGTCCTTTTCTTTAAAATTAAAAATATTCTGTCACCAAGTTAGAGATTATGCCTTGATCACTTTGAGACACAAGCTCAATTAACATTATGTCAGCACATTGTCCAGTAAAACAGTTGTAAATCCAAAGCATTGTGCTTACAAATAACAAAAGTATGCATCCTATATTACCTTGACTTGCTCTGGTTCCCATGCATCAAGGGTCAATGAGCGAACCTTGGAGACGTGGACACCCAAACTCCTATTAAAACAAGCATTACCGCTGGGTCATTTCTTAAACTACATGATTGTAACTTTTTGATCTCTCATAATATTATTATATATCAAATTTAAATACTTACAAAATAGGTAATTATGCACTGGACAGTTTGTGACTCAGTCAAACATACTGCCCTCAACTGATGATATTTGGACCCAGAGGCATGAATTTACTGAATGTTTGTTTGGTTGTTTTACCTGCTAATTGAACTTAAGAAAAACTACACAGCAGCAAAGCTGAGCCTTTTGTCTGCACCACTGATCTTAAGGATCATGGCATAAACCAGATTATTGACAACACATGCACTCTACAATGCATATCGAGATCCTTCTAATATTACAGATCTGATGTAACCATGACTAGGAGCATGTCATTATGGTAAAAGCAAGGGCTATTCATAAAAAAAGAACTTTTTTTGTAACAGTACCTGTGAATACCTGAGCATTCTATACACAGCACAATTCCCATGTTAGTACTTGCCCAGGTCGGATCTAAAGGATAAAAAATAATTTGCATTAGAGTTACTTACTACTGGTAACTACAAAATATAAACCATTTAAATTAAAAAAAAAAAGGAAAAAGAAAAAGAAAGGCAAAAGCAAACATTCTAACCCATGAAAGGAGGATAATAAAAAAACCCACATTTTCATTGCAAAGGCCAAATGGTATTAAAAAGTTAACTTTCTTTACACGATCCTATGACCTCAAAGCTACCCTCTCCCACAGATTGTTGTACTATGCTCACCAGTGCTGCTGCAGTCTGCACACTTGTCATTACCAGAGACAGCTCTAATAACATCAAGGTTACTTCTGTCATTGAAAAGTAATAAAAACTGTTAAAACACCAAATGAATGTAATTATTAATATTAACTTTTAGTGAACCAGGTCCAAAATGGAGTGTCATCTGTATGATCCAAGAGAGTACTGTCTATGAAATAACAGGAAGGAATGGCACAGTGATGGGAGTGGGGATGACACAGTGATGAGAGCGGGGATGGCACAGTGATGGAAGAATAGACCCTTGCATTATTGATGAGAGCAGGGATGGCAAAGTAATAGGAGCAGGGACGGAACAATGATGAGAGCAGGGATGGCACGGTGATGGGAGAAGGGATGGCACAGTGATAAGTGCAGGGATGGCACAGTGGTGAGAGCAGGGACCATGGCAAATCCATGCAACCCAGCCATGAGCCCCCACGCAGAAAAGGGAAGCAGATCTCAGTCACACTGAATAAATGGTGGAAAGAGTGGGAAAGGGGTGGGGAAAACTACCAGGATGATGAACTGTCAGTCCAAACCATGTTGCAAGCTCATGCTCAAAGCACGTGCAAGAATGCCTCAATCAGAGAGCACATGGAATTCTGACATGTGCGCATATGCAAAGACCGCTGAATACTACTGATCCTCTTAGTTGTCAACTCTGTTAAATTGCTTTTAACTGCATCAAAGAAATCTCCAGCAACAGTATGCAAAAGGCAAGACAATCAAACCTTGATGGTCCAGAAACTTTGTTGAGGGAATCCATACTGTTGTTCATAGAGCCTGGCCCTTGTAAATCACTCTGAAAAAAAATTATATAAATTCTATTTTAAACTTGAACTAAAAAGACAGGATAGGGATTTCCCCTGAAATCACAAATTATAGGTAAGGTGCACATCAGTGACAGCTCACAGAGAAAGTGTGTAAAGAATCAATTTAAAAGTTGTGAACATTTTAAACAAGAGCTAAAGAAATGAAAAAAAAAAAATGGAACAGTGTAACAGTGACCAAAAAAGTAGCCAATAATCTATTTCATTTGCAGCTAGTGAAATTGATTCAAGGTATAAATTGAACAACTTGTCCTTGTGTCATGTGATTTTTATACAGTAGTTTTGAGGAAGGTTCTTGGAGAAAAGGACTGAAAGTGCATGTGGCAATCTTGAAAGGTACCATGCAATTAATCTGGGTAGCTGCTAATTAATGAACTTTAATATGCCAAATAAATAAATAAATATATATTGCTTGGATTCATCAAAACTGCACTGCCTTGTCCTCAGAGTCACATTTTCTTGGATTGTCTCTGAAATCCTGAGGTCAAGGAACCATGACTTAAAAACTACCCACAGGGATCACATGCACTATGCGCAAGTAAGTAATTTCAATTCACCCACCTTATCATTGTTACTTTGAATACTGGTTGAGCTATTGAAAGCCTTGTCAATACTGGCCTGTGAATCACCACATAACAATTAAAATTTTAGTAACAGTATTTTGTTAGAAACTCTCTTATTGATCATCAAGTTAAGGATTCACTTCTCTGCCAACACAACACAACAATTTCTACAAAAGCTGATAACTCGTTCACTTCTACTTCAAGCCTACTTACTACAATTTTCAGTTGAGAGAGGGGCAACAAAAGTTTGGTGACCACATTTTGATGTTAAAAATGGGGTTGTTGTCATGGGCAACTGGTGCTGTTTTCAGGATCATTTGGATCATTTGATTTCTTAACACTATCTCACATGCTTGACAGTTTATGATACACTGCTCTTGAGATTTGGTTAACATTGGAAAAAAGGAAGGTTGCCCTTGAAAACAACATTATTTTACAAACAAAACAAAACCCTGTCACCAACCTCACTCCACACCTCACTCAAGTTCACCATCAGCAGAAATTCACCCACAACATTTAGTGTACATCCTTAGACTCTGACTCTTAGACTATGTATTCCACTTGCCTCAATTTGATAAACTTACCTGCATAGCTTCCATCCATTCCACTTGCAGTGCTTCACTATCTGCTTGTAAATACCATGATCTAGTGATACAGAGTAGAAGATATCATTTTCAGTTAACTCTAAACTCAAAAAGTGATTAACATGTCACTTCTCCCTATAAAATCTATACATTATCCAGCAAATGGGTAACAAGAATACTCAAACTTATCAGGTAAAGAGAATACTCAAACTTGTTAGGAAGAAGTTGTTATCTTGATCTAACACCAATTCCTGTAACCAATTTACAAATGTCTTGCAGTTTGAGGGGAGAATTAACAATCAGATCTTGGAAACAATAACTATTGGTCACTCAGATGCTATCAATTCTGAGTTGTCTACTGTGTATTTGACAGATTTGCAAAAACAGAATTTAGTAGCCTTACTTTGTTGGTGATACCACTTCAAACATAAATCTTCTTTCCACTGTTTCCTCTGCAAGCCTAACTTTACACAATCGAAGATCTTCAACAAGTACTGTTTGATCATCCTGCAAAATTGAATGCAAGTGATACATTAACTGCATGTCATCATCGAATCCCTTCATTCATTTGACTGTACAACTGAAAAAAGGTTTTAATTAAAAACTTCAATAAATTTCCTAAGTATTCACAATTCAAAGCATGATAACATATGTGCATAAATAGGTGTATGCACCTGGCTGTTGACATTTGCAGCATGCATGTGATTGACATAATCAGAATGTGACACCAGAAATTGCACTTAGTGATCACACTCGTGAGTGTGTGTAATCTAAATACTACATTCATTCAGTCATACACACCTTTAATCTCTTCTGATACATCAGTTGGTTATTCTGAACTGTGAAATATCACCTTTGGGAAAATAAAAATGAGGTATTTTACAATGAAATTATTTAAGACCTTAACCCTTTACACCCTAATATCAGTATGCATATTCTCCATACTGTTCTCTACAAATTTCATGAGGGACCAACAAGGAGAATTTGCCTGACAATCAATAGCTTTTTAGTCAGTGATCGTCTCCTTTATTCTTGAGACCTTAATGCTTGATTCAGGTGTCATATTGTAAGGAGAAATTAGATGTTAGTCACTCTTAGGAGTTAGAGGGTAAATCAGCTGCTGCAGTTTTACTTCAGTGTCAATCAGTATCCCATTAAAAAGTACTCAGATCCACTACAACTTCTGAGAGTCAGAGATCTAACCTGTAGAATATTTCAGTCTAAATTCACCCCTAACTCACTGCTACCACACACTCACCTATGCCAACTTCTAAAAGCATTACTGCTTTTTTTAAATAAGTAGCCTTCCATTACTAAACCACTGCAAACAAATAGAAGGTGAAAATTAACCCATAGGCACATGAACATAAACATGATTTTCACCAAACTGAATGCACAAGATTCACTCCTCAAAGTAAACAGAGAAGTTACAAACTTTGAGACTTCCCATTGTGAATGATGTAAAACATGTATTGAGTATTGTTCAGACACCATCAATAATTATAACAGTTTACCTTGCATCATTCAGGTTTCTTCTTCCTATGCACCCACTCTCCTCCTAAAATCACAAATCCAAGATAGCAAGCCTTGAGTAAAAACCATGAATCTCATAATCTAGTATTTGACAAATTTTCTGCCCCTTGTTTTTTGCACATTCGACCATAGAAATCTAATGGAATGGTTTCATAGACATTCCAAATCAATTACAACTCACCCACTAATCTCACAATCTTTTTTTGTTTTCTCACAGCCTTGCAACAAGACTCAATCTCACTTTATTGGGGGGAAATTGAATGAAAATGGGAAATAGAAAATTACTGGTAAATGATAAATATATGGAAACATTAACCAATGTATAAGTTTTGTACCCAACTGTATAATTTTTTTGCCTGTCTTTACCTTATTTTTAAACAAAATTCTAAGGCCCATGTTAGGAAATTTTAAACGGCTCTAAGGACAGAGCAAAATTTTTAAGATCTTAAATCATTATCGTAATAATTGATATTATACCCACCATTTTCTGGACCAATGTGTGTCTTTCTTCCATCTCTTTTTTGTCCATTGTAAACTGGACTGACACTTCTTCCACCTGGATTACAGAATTTGATACACAGTTGTTAAGAGTCACTATCAGTAGACTATTTCCAATTGATTAAAACCTGTCCTCTAATATTTTAACCCTTTCACTCCTAGGAGTGATCAAAGAGGAACTTCTCCTCACAATTTAAGTGCAACTCTTAGCATAAAGTTGATAAGAAGATTGAAAAATATCTGATGGGGGATACTGGTTGATAATTACAACCAAATTCTCAGAGCTTAAATTATAAGAAATATATGGCAAATGGTGTGAAGAATAAATCTTTAGATCCTAAGAGTGAAAGTGTTTCAATTTTTAAGTTCACAACTGCTTCTGAAATAATGAATCATTGTTTAAAATTAATATACAAACTGTTCCATCAAGGAACAAAAAATCCTAGAAGGTCTGACAGAAAAAGACAAAGAACACCAAACTTGTTGAATGTTGCACCAATGGTATAATAGAAGCCAATATCTTCATTGTTATCAAATTATTAATAGTAAATCAAATTCAACCCACCTGATTTGACACCCTCTTCATGTATGCATCTAAATCATTCATCAAATCATAACCTTGATGAAAATATGTTGACTGGGCATGCATAAACTTCAGAATCTATAACAGGAACAAAAACAGACAAGTTCAGTTTCTTCTCCCAGTCAGTCCTACTCATTCAATCTGTACTAAGACTTCTTTTCAAATTTGCAAGGACAAAAGAACCTGTTAGAAAAGATGGACTATATGCATGAAGAGGTCTAATTAACACTGCCATGTTCTACAAGGATTTCCAGCACTGAGAAAACCTGCAACTGCACATGTGTAAAATTATAATTATATTTTAAATGTGTTTGACATCGCAATCAGCTGCTGACGCATCACTTGTTTATTGTGCCACTCTGTCAGGTTAATAAATGAATAGCAAAACATTCACCATTCTTAATACAAGGTTGTTTGGTAAATTTGTGACCATGGAAGGCAAAACAGACACTAACAGAAAACTGTTAGAATAGCAAAAACACACAGATGACAAACGGTTGATGAACAGTCCTTGAGGCATTTGAACAGTTTGCCTAACCATTTGAACTGGTGAATAAATTATTTGAGAGGTTTGGTCAGCCATTTGAACAGATGAGTAAAAATTTTTATCAGATGGGCAAACTGAACTTGAACAGTTTGATTAGCCCTTCAAACGGTTTGCTTAGCCATTCAAATGAATGAATAAAACGGATAATGTCAAATGGACTGGCAAGCCATTCAAATGAATGAAAATTTTATTAAACCATGATTGGTTGTGCGATTAGTTTACCAATCATATGGATGAATGAGTTGCTTAAATGGTTTGCGAAACCGTTCCAATTGCATAACTTGATCATGGAATGGGCAATTATACTCTTGTCATTTAAGGCCTATAGTGATTAAATAGTAAACAAAATAATATTTGGTCTCTTGTATGTAAGGAATTTTCCTTCAAGTGTTCAACTAAACACTGCAAGAAGAATTCCATATCTCTGTGCATCCATCTATTATCCTCTACTTCTTACAGTGTCTAGAACATCAATCCTTCTTCGTGACTGTAAAATGTTGATCTGCAATACAAAGCATGGTTTTAAAAAACTGACAATAGTTCTTGGAAGGGGGATAAATTTCATGCTTGCTTACTAGACAATACAGCAACTATTGACAGAGATTCAATGAACATGACAAGCTCAAAATTGTCACTTCTACACTTTATCTACAACCTGGAAGGCATAGTCCAATGCTGTGTGGTTAAAACATGTCTGATTAGCTTTCACTGCATTCTTAACCTGTTTTGTGGAAATTAAAAAAAAATAAATAAATAAAACAATAAAAAAAATTAAATTAACTACAAGGTATTCAGTGTGGTCCTTCAATCGTCATATATAATACAGATTGGTAGGCACAGTAACACACAGCAAGTTACATATACAAACATCTAGGTGGCTATGCAAAATTTTTAGCAACTACACATGAAGCTCTACACTATAACAATAATCTAACCTCCTCCACTTCAGAGGCCTTACAGTGATGTGGAAGCTGTGCATTTCTTGTCAAGGCACTAAAAAGAAAAAAAAAAAAAATCACAAACATTTTCATTAGCACACAATCCTGGTCTTATGTTTTTGGGCAAAGGACAACCTGCCATGGTGAAGTGGTGGGTAGGGTGTAGGGTGGGTAGGGTGTAGGGTGGATAGGGAGTACAGGGGTATGGGGGGATAGGGCACCTTCAATGAACTAGAGTTCAGGCTACAAGGGAGGGAGGCTGTAATGTTTCTTTTCCAGTCATACTATGGAGTAGTGCATCAAGCGGCCACCATTTTTGTCACCAAGGTGAATGGAAAAAAATTTGGCTTGTATATTTCCAGCAAAAGTCACTGAATGGCCAATCTGTGTGCAGATGCCACAAATCTGAAAGGTTTGCATTTGTCAAAAATCTTTATGACCAACATGCACAGTCATAAACCAGTTCCAGGCTGTTGCCACTTCCTCTTTCCTTGTTCAAGTGTCAAGTCCTGAGATGTTAAATTAAGTGAACCTTACAATGACTGCTGGCTACTGTGGTGTTGCCTGCAGCTCTGATGACTTTTTTCTGATTTTCAGTTGCCAAATGGCAAAAAAAATTTGAGCTTAGAGTGCTAAAGAGCCTTATCTCGAAAGCCAATGGGTAAATAAGAGAAAATCCAACATGACCCTTTAGTTACAGCACCAATCATTGAGCTCATGTCAAAAAGGACAGTATACATGTCAAGTATTATACACTCACTTATCCAAATCATCACTGACTTTGTCAAACAGCTTTTTAGCATCCTTAACCTTCTTGACTTCCCTGTAAATGAGAGAAAATAAATAGTGTTTAGTTTTGCAAAGATTTTTGATGTTCATCTACTTTTTGAGCAGCTACAGGTATGTTCTAAAATTGTAACAATGACAACACACTTAATTTTCTTTTTAGAGTATATTTGATTCAATAAATATTATTTAATTGTAGTTGCATCATTACAACTGTTTTAATTCCTGTTTTTAACAGCTGACAGTGTCAATTGGAATCTTGAATCAATCTTGAATTGTGTAATTAAAACAGTTGTAAATAGGCTCATTTTACAAGAGGAGGCAAACAAATCAATTGTCACAACTACATTGTACTATCAATGTAAAAAAATGAAAAATTCACTTTTTTCTTCTTTACTTTACATTTAACTTCTCCCACATTGTACCTCTCCCCACCTCAAACTGTCCATTGCTGTGTAAGAACTATGCAAATCTTAGAAGGAAAAAACTTTTACAGAGAGAGGAGATGGATTTAGAAAGGTTATGGAATTGAAAAGATGTGATTTCATCAAAATTTTCAAAATACAAGTGGGTGTTAACCCTTTTGTAGTGCAATGCAGGTTATCCAATTTCTCTTTTTAAGACAAACCTGACAAGAATTTTCACAACCACACTTACTCTTTGATAAAAGTTCTCAGTGTGCTTGAGATTGATTTTTGTGCTTGCTCTAAAAGAATCTGAGGAAAATACAGATACTGATTATTTCACCGAACATGTCATCAAAAATCCAATTCTAGGTGATGTGAGAGAAGAAAACATTTTTTTTTATGCAAGGTATGAAGTCAATGGTAATGAAAGTGAACTGTCAAAAACATGATGTACACATTCACAAAATGTACAGCAAATAAGAGAGTTATCAGTCTATGCTTGTTCTTGTTTAAGGCTGGGTGTGGGGTATGTGAAGCCATACAAAAAATTCACAATTCTCCACTGTAACAGCTTCTGTTTACCACCAGTCTAATGATATAATCAACATATTGTTCTCCATGACTGCCAGAAAACAAACACAACAAAATCACAAAGGGCAACAATTCCATGCAGAAAAAAATTTTTTTCTATAAATCATTTTCACCAATTGAAATATTAATTTTTAAATGAGATGTGATTTTAAGGAAGGACTATGGACTATTATAGAGTTGACAATTGAGGAAATCTCACTCACTGATAGGAAGCTCTGAAGCTCAGTCAGAGCACAAGAGAACTTGTCCAGTGTGAATGACACCAGCTCATCTCCTGCAAAGTACTTTGTCAGGTTGTCAATACCACTCACTAAAGCACTGAAGGAAAAGTGACGAAAGCCTTTATGTGAAAATACAGTCATGTAACTAACAAACAATTCTTGTCTGAACTATTCAATTCCGAACTGTGCTATCTTAGACTTCAGGTGCCACAGGAAACCAACTTATATCATTGGGTGACCTGTATCACTTTGCTGTTATATAAAAGATGTTATGACCTGGTCAGGACAACCCTCATATGTGAAACAAGATCCTTTAGAAACCCAATAATCCTTTAACCTTTACATCCCTGCATCTGTATACAAATTCTCCATACTGTTCTCTATAAATTTCTCATAGTGCTGAGCAGGAGAATTTGTTGGACAATCAAGGTTTCTTTTGTTGGCAAACATTTCCTTTATTCTCATCACCTTAATATTTGATTTAGAAGTGATTAGAAGGAGAAATTCAATGTTAGTCACTGTTAAGAGTCAAAAGGGTTAAAGAGTAGAGCTTTCCAAAGAGGGAGAAGTGAAAGACCAAGAGAAAAACCACAAAAAGAGATCAGAGTTCTTTAACTGTGTACTGACACTACCTGGTGGATAAGTTGAACTGTTTCCCTGTCTCCACCATTCCACCACAAAGCTTGATCAGCTACAAGGAACACAAAGGCAAAAAATTATGTTGAACTGATGCTGACAATACTGCAATTTAAGAATGCATCTTATTCAAAGTTATTATAAATTAAGTTCTGCACAAAACTTGGTACTTACTTTAAACACAAACAAGAAATATTTAGCTCTCTGGGCCAACTAAACTCAGTCAATAAGCACCTTGTCATATGATTTCTTCTCTTCATTTTTTTGCACTTTCTTCTTGCTTGAATTTCACGGCGAAAAACACAAGGATATACATTTCCTCCATCTCTACTTCCACCATCCTATACAACCCTCAAACAGGGATTTTTCTACTGTTTATCAATAAAAGTGCACACTGAGCCATATGGCTATTACACAACGATGTAAAGGGTTTGAACTTAATCCAAACTTATTTCTTGAAGCCTTAATACTCAAAGGTCCACATATTACTGGAATCTATGTCTACATTACTTTTCTATTTACTAAATTCTTATTCTCCCAGTTTCTGATCTTTCTCCATTTGATGTACACACTAAAAACAGAAATGGTAAAAAATTCACCTTTTCTAAAGCAACTTCCAAAACATTGATATCTTGTTCATTTTGATCAATCTGTAATCTATATAAAAAAAAAAACATTTACTAGGGATCAATACTGCTTAATAAAAGTGACTAAAGAATGTAAATAATCTATATTGATATTGTTTACTTCCTCTGCTTCTCTGCCAGACTAACATTACAAACTGAATAAGTTTAATAATATGAAAATGATCAATGATCATGAGTGGCACAAGAATGTTTATATCATGATCAAGACTAAAGGGAAGAGCCAGACCAAGCCTTAAGACAAGGCACAGAGGTTAGGGGACTGTGCATGAGATACTTAATGGAGGTCATTTTAGAAAATAATTTTAACCATTCACTCCCAGCAGTGACCAAGAAACACCTTCTCCTCACAGCATCAATACCATGACAAGCAGACAAATAAAGAGGATTTATGAAAATATGAACAAGGATATTATCATTTCATCCAATACTTAATTATAAATTCTCAAACTTTGAGCCTACACTGGCCACAATTGCTTGGTGAAACTCAAAAAATGAAAAAAAGGACACAAAAATATTACCACTCTTAAGAGGAGGGAGGTAAAAGCTCTTCTTTTAGGAAAAGCTTTAAAATAAACAGGAATTTCCAGAGAGCCTTATGGTGTTTACTGGCACAGCAATACGATACTGATATTGCTGAAGTATGTGCAAGCAAGATTAAAATCTTGCAGACTGAAAAAAACAAACACTAATTTATACTTGAGGATATTTAATTCCTCAATAACATCGATCTTAAATGCCACAAGGGCAAAGACAATGTGACACCATTGAAACTCTTTTCATAGTAAACAGAACGTGCATACTGCACTTCAAAAGAATTGAGGCAGAAACTAATTAAAGAAGCAACTGGAAATCTTCATTGACTGATTTCAGTATTTTTTGTAAAATGTTTGTTTGAAATGGATAAAAATAACTTAAACGTCCTTGATCTATCCACCGACAAAGAAATCGAAACTAGGTCCATTAAAGCTTAACTTGTAAGTACAAAGTGCGAAACATATTATCCCATGGCCAGCTAAAATTAAATACAATTGACTTCTTACCAGAATTTTATGAAAGTTTTGGGCAAAATCAGCCACATTTAACCAGAGTTGGATTTTAAGCTTCTTATTTCATTTTCTCTAGTGCTCAGTCTAATCAGTGCAGTTGTAAACCTGAAACAATTTATCGAGCATGTGTGAAGCCATTAAAATCGTAACTTGAGTTGATGCCGCTCACACCTGTCTGAAAGTTGTTAAGGAATGATGTCGTTTGAAAATATCCGTTTCTATAGCAAGCGGATAAAACTGAGCACTTTGTTCATATGTCTTCAAAAATAACGCGTTCATGAATGACTTCACGTGCAGTGAAAGTTCAACCGAAAGTTGAACCCGAAAAAAAAACTTCTAAAAACATGACACCTGAAAATTTGTCCAATATAATTTGAAAACTACACTGAACTGAGGAATCCCACGACGATTTTTCAAACTAAATAAGAAAAGAAGTCACTTATCACTGAGAAAACAAGGGAAGTAACGCGACCCCATGTCATGTTACAAAGAATAGCAACAATTGAAAAGTAAAAGCCTCGCCTACGATCGCGAGTCCTTCCATATAACGTCCCTCAATTCTGATAAAGAATCTTATCTTTGCTTACCTGAATCGGGGAGAGTCTTTCAAGCACTCCTCGAATTCTACCGCCTGCTTCATATTGAGTGCTAAAGCTGAAGTTTAATGCCAACGAAGCCCTTCAAACGACTGACAACATCCGGAAATGCTGTTACTCTCTCTTCATCTAGCCCGCCATATTTGTTTTCTAAAGTGGAATAACTAGTTGCCAGTCTCCGACCTCTGACTCCGAGCACGAGTTACCTAATATTCTGAAGATTCGAGATTAGTATTCTCAATTCCGATGAGATTTGAAAGAAAATTATAGTTAGATATCACTCGAGAAGCCTCAAAATTTCGCCGGACTGGGCTTTTATTTCCAAGTAATTTCATTATACATTGTCAATCATTCCCGATTCTCTTACAGATTCTAAAAAACTGTTCTGTCAACGCGCTACGGCACGCGCTACGGATCTGTCAGTGAATTTATTGATCCTGTTTTGTCACAAGGAAACCTTAGTTTGCAGCTCTTAGTGATTGAACTAGGTTCCTAGCCGTCTTTTTTCTTCTTTCGCATTAATTACTGTAAATTACTTTCGTGGCAAATAAGGAAAAAGGAGAACTAAATACAACGAAACAAAACTAATGTTAGTTCAGAAGAGATTTTTTAAACTTATAAAATTACGACTCTGTAATTACTCTAGAGAGGCACTAGCTCTCTTTTCACTCGACTTCAGATGTTTGTGTCAGTCTTTTATAAAAATGCTCTCATTTTGAAAAAGAAATATGGATAAACTTAGAGGACGAGTTCCAAAATAAATATTATTATGAAATCAACGGGTAATTATAACTAGCTAAGTTAGTTGAACGATAAACGCACCGAGTTATTTCTTTCTTTTATTAGGTACAAAATTGACTAGCTACTAAGTTACATTTTTCGCTCGCTGCTGTACGTCTTCAGTCCTAGTTTAAAATTTATTTTTGGCCCTGAAAAAGATATTTGGAAAAAAAAGTGGATTTGGCAACTTTCGCTTGATATGATAACAAAAAAAGTATTTGGTAGAAAAATTTAACCAGACAAAGATTTTAGCCACTGCAAATATATCAGATCAGCCTTTGAATTTTTTCCTATTCTTTATGTCTGATTGGTGTCCGGAATTAATCCAAATGGTATAAATTCATTGTTTTAGAATGAAATAGATCGTAGCTGCAAGCACGTACATTAAAAAAGATCTATATATTTCTCCGGCACCTTTGCTGACATTTAAAAAAAAACATAATTAATCTTCTAAAACAGAAGACTTGTTAATAATAAATAGATTTTTGAAATTTGTCTTTGAATGGATTCCCACGAAATAACGTGTTCTGATTGGTTATTTAATGATCCAGTTTGCGACAGGCGCGCGCCTTTATGACGTGAAATTCGCGCCAGTTGTCAGTGAAAAAAGTCATGGCTGTCTTCTTGCAAGCCGGTCCTGCCTGAGAGACAGGATTTTTCAACGAAAATTTCGCTTCGAAATGAAAAAGAAACAGTCGCCGAAGAAGTCTCCGAAAGAACATCACATTTCCAAGGCTCAAAAAGGTAATCATGAAAAACTCAGTGTCAAAAGGTGCGTCGATCCCGCTGTTTTGGCGCTGCGAAAGGTTTCAAACACGGAAAGGCCGCCAACACCATATGAGAACGAAAACAGAGCAAGTGAACAAGTTCTCGGCCCTGTATTCGTACCAAACAAGTTTATGAACGGAAGCCAGAATTATACGCAGTATGCCCGAGCCCTGCCATCTGCCTCATGGCCTGTAAACAGCTCTCCAGCGTTTTGCAAAGTGGATGGAAAAACTTCAAACCTTTCCGAAATTTACGGAATTTCAAAACCTGAAGGAACATTAGCTAGCAGTCTCCCAGCTGTGGACAAAAAGGGGCCTTTTAGACTTTCAAACGAGGAATTAAGAACCACAAAAAGAGCTCCGTTTCTTCCTAAGATTGATGGAAATTCAAAGACAAAATCTGCTTCGTTTCACAGTGTAGTTTTAAGCGACCAAGGTCTTAGGCGAAGCCCACAAACAAGTTCGGAAATGATCAGACTCCCACCTGCAAAAATACATAACGGGAATATTACCTGCAAAGCAAACAATTCGCCCCAGCTGTCCACTGATGAAAAAATTACAATGAAAAGCTCCTCCTCAGAGGATGTTGGCTCGTCGGAAATTGTCCCGAAGCCTCCAAGTATTTCTAAGACAAAAGACAAGAGTACGACACGAAGAAAAATAAAGCGAAGGAAAGCGGAAGATGAGCGAAGCAGTTGAAATCTACTACTCGAGAGTAACAACAAGCTTCTAGATGAGCTCAGAAGTGGCCTGAATCAAACCGTAACGATCGACGAGTTATGAAGCTGCAAGGCCATTGTGTAGAATTGAATTAATATTCTTTATGTCAATATTTAGGCTTTCAATTTTGAAAAATAATTTCGTTATTTATTTTGATTAGTAAGTTTGACATCAAATGCGACACTTAATTTCCATTTTAGCGAACTTTTTATCTGCAACCTTTAATTCTTAATAGTAAAAAAGAGACCAAAAATGTTAAGAGTCTATTTATGATCAGCCCATGTCGCAAACAGTATTTTTTTTTTCTAAATTACCGTGTTTAACGTTAGGTCAACTTGAGGCGGTGTTTCAGGTCATACTTTTGTAACTAAATTATTTGAACAAAGCCGACAAACTAAAATATTAAGAGAAATTAATTCCATCCTTAACATGAACAAAAGCTGTATATATATTGCATGACAAAAGAAATTTGAACATTTGTTGCTTGTTGTCTTTAGACTTTAAACTAAATGTAACTGATTCCATTCAAATGAGAATCAAATATTTTCAAAAGTTCATTTTTCAATTTTTGGAAACTGCCGGTAACAATATCTTGAAGAAATTCAGACTTGATCAACGACTGGATTAGTTCCTGAGTACTCTATCAACTGAAAATTTAGCGGGCTTCGGTCAGATTGTGAACACAGCATCACCAAAACTTACAAGAAAAAGTATATATAACCTCCCTGACACTGTAAATATTCAATAATTATTAGATACTATGGTATAATTATTGGCTTTTACAGTATTATTTGTATGAATGTTTGTTAAAGTTCCCACTTTTTTTTAACACAAACATAAATGTGATGTTATATATATTAAAATTGGTCAATAACTTAATAGCTTTACATATTCATCATACTTTCAGGGTGGGTACTCCCACGTTTGCAAGGGAAACGCATTTCGCTCTCAAATTAAAAAAATTTCGGAACTTTTGTGCGTTAACTGAAAAAGTAAGCTCATAAATATTTCTTGTGATTGTGTGAAAGACGTTTTTAACGCAGTTATGGTCGGTTTTAACAATTTTCATTCAAAGTTGCCAAGGAATGTTCGCTCTTCAGATTTATTTAAACACAACCCCGTAGCTTAAAATGTCCAAAAATATGCTTTCAAAAATGAGAAAGATGTTCTGTCGAAGAAAGGCCTCATAAAATTTCAAATTGTAAGTTTTTAAAGATATATTTAGTTAACACCATCGAACTATAAATCCTTTGTGAACAAATAAAAAATAGCTTGAAGTCCCCAAGATTAGTAATGAAACTAAAATCAAGAATCTAAAATGAACAGCTTAGTCCATAAAGACAATAGATGGTTACGAGTTAAAAGTTAATTCATGCACGTTTTCAGTTTCAAAAGCTCGCTTTCTTCGCACAAACTCAACAATTCTAATTATCTAGCTCAACTGAAACGGTGTTACTCTTAATACTTTTCCATGGATGAGAAATTTTCAAAATTACTCATCGAGATGCTGAAAACGGCGATGAAGACCATATCGGTGTGTGAATCTCTAAGTTTACTGTTCAGAGCAGGACTGTACCGACAGCAGACTGTCTTGTTGGAAAACCAAAACTGTCACCACCATCTCTCACAGAATCGTAGACAATGTTAGACGAAATACAGCGAGGGGTGAAATAACGAGGAGTGGGTAGAAGCACTGGTCGATGAAGTGTGTTCCGGGAGTTGTTTTTGATATCATATTCACATTCATTTGAGTTAAAAGAATATGAGGGAGTCGCATAGAATGGCGACGCTGTTTGTTCTCGTGGAATGTCAAATTGGCTCTGAAATACCAGTCTTGTCGGTGCTAGACTTTGGTTGAAAATTGCAGGGGTGTCTTCAAGTCCTACCGTGGTTTCTAAGGGAAAATGATGAAATGATGATGATGATAAACGCAGGTAATTTCGAAAACTGTGTTGAACGTACAGTGAATTATATTTCCATTCATACCGCACGAGGCAAATTGCTGCACGGTCGAAGTTGTCATGGTTTAGCTTTATCTTTATCATTACGTCGTAAACAAGCATTTTATATCAAAATTTAAAATAGCAAAGATAGAGGTAACTCATTGTCCCTTACATTGTGATGCTCGAGAGTTTTGATACGAAATTTATCAGAATTGTCTTTCGAGCTAGTGTCTCGCTCATTTATACTACAATTTGGCGCGTGTTTTTTAGACTTTGCTCATCCTCTTCGACTCAAATAGCGGTGAGTCTCATAGTTGTATAGCATGAGAATCGAGGATTGTCTGGGTTCGAAAAAAAAGCAAAAAACAAGCATAACCGTGATAGTTACTACGAGAAATTTGCCATCAAAACTTGTAAGTTTTTCTATGGAATCGTACCTCCCTGTTTGTCGGCTTTCTTCTCGTTTTGCACTTTCTGAATGAATTTGACGGTTATCTCCAAAATTTCCGCCTTTTCAAGTCTGCAGCCTTTCTTGATCTATAAGCCAATGAAAGAGTTCAAAATAGATCGAAAAATACAAACATTAAGATTAAAGTACATAAAGGGATAGCTAAAACAGTGGGTTCAATGTATAAGAAGCACGCTTAAAGAAAACTCCGCGTGGTCTTTTACTAAGGTGACAGCTAATTCTGACACACAGACTGCACCTACCTCCAGCTCCCTGGCTTCAGGGATCAGCCGTTTAATTTGAGACAAGCAATTGTTGATTCTTTGCCGTCTTTTTCTTTCCATTTCAGGTTTTTTAGGTGACATAATGGAAGCACAACTCAGTTTATGAAACTCCTGCCTTGACATTTAGCGCCCTTTCTGCGCGTGCGGCGTATAACTGCCTCGCGCTTGTCTCACGACCAGGGTTCACGGCATAAGAAGTCCATACACGTTCCCGCCTTTTTATGTGCTAGCAAAATATTGTCACGTTCATGGGAGGGGAGCAAAGAGAAAAGTCTAATTAGTTTTTAAGTGTGAATTGTGATTATTTACATCCCAATTTACATTATGTTGCCTAACAAGGCTGTCCTTTCCCGATTCGACCGGAACTGTCCGACATCAGACGGAGGTGTCCGAAATCAAACCGAGCTCTTCAAAAGTTGAATGGGAACGTCCGAAATTGATCGAAATTGTCCGAAATCGGACAGAGATGTCTGTACTCGGTCGGGAGACTGGTGCCCCAAATTAGATGGAACTACCAAAATCAGACGAAGACGTGGAAGAAAGGATGCCGTGATTGGCACTCTCTAGACACTCCAAAGTATTTTAACCACTCAGGGAACTCATACAATTTGGTCCCCGTCATCTCGAAGTCTTTTTGAAGGTAGATCAGAAGTACTTCAGTATCAAAAAGCGACACTTTTTTCAAGGATCTTCAACAGAATTACTTTACGGTGCAAAACCTTAAAATGACATTTAATCAAGTAAAGTAAAAAAAATTATAATCTTCTTCTTTTTTACCTGCACACAGGGTTTCAGGTCAGCTTCTGTGTGTTTTTCATAATTTTATTTGCCTCAATCTGAGGAAGAGGTCAGGTATGACGTCTCCAAGGATTGATTCGCTCTTTAGAGAATTTTTTTCAGTCCTGACTTCTCTATAGGGGTAAGAGGGGGGTGCAGGGGAAGGAGGTGTTCGGTCCCATCTTTAGCCTCATTAACCGTTGGAAGTACAGAGAGAGTGGCATAAAAGAGTTTCGGATCAATATCAGTATCTGGGCAACTGCCCACCTACCCCTCCCCTAACTAAACAACAGTCAACTGACAACAATTTAACGTTAATGTTGGGTTAAGGGAGGGGTGGGTGGGCAGATACTGATATTGATCCAGAGATTCAGTGTGCAATTTTCGCTTTTAAGCAGGAATGTGAATCAATAGAGCCTAGAAAAGGCGTTTGTTTAAGACTAACCGTTTACTTTGATCATTTTGTACCTCTGCTCTGAAGCTTTTACACCTCACGCAATGCTGTCCTTAGTATTTTCACAGTTATCCCCTAAAATTGTTATGTGATATAAGGAACAAAATTGATAGATATTTATAAACTATAACCAATATGCTGCTACTCCAGTTTTTCTCAAATGATTTCATTCTGAGATAAGGTATTCTCGAAAGAAACAGCAAGGTACGAACCCAACGTTTACTGGCACAAACTTTAGGTTGAACGCAAACAGTACATCGCTAAAGGAGCGATAATCACTCGCCCCATTTTTAAAAGGCGGATTGATTGAGTAAAGTAAACGAGAGAGAGGCACCTTTATTGTTTTTTTTCCATGCTGAGCGTCTAACTTGAATGTCTTAATATTCTCCTGAACACCTTTTGTTTATTCCCATTTAGTAACGAGTGACAAGAACAACCTTGTTCCCAACGTCCTCTCTCATCCTCCTTCAAGAAAAATATCGGGGGAGGACGAGAGAGGACCCCGGGAACGAGGTTGGGACGAGAGTACGCTGTGTGACGTAACCAGGCGATGGCTGCGAAAGAGATTAGAGTCCTAGTCATTCTTGCAGTCATGTCCACAAATCCAGGGTCTCCATAGATTTTGATTCTCTGGAGCAGCAAGTGTCTGTCGATCAGTGGTAGGTGGAGGTACTTGAGGGACCAACCCGAAAGATGTCGGCTGATGTAACATGGAATCCGAAACAAACCAGGTGGAGTTTTTGGAGTGAAGGCCACTTGATATTCCGATGGTGTGGGGCGGGAAATGTGGAGAAATTGAAGAACACAAAGATTTGAGGGCATTTAAGGGTCCCTTACACGTGGTTTCCACGGCAACGCCGTCTTTCTTCTCCTCAAGTCGTTCCTCAGGTTTTCTTTTGTCATAACTAGTTTCGGCAGAAACGTTATTGACTTTGAAAGGACAGGTCTTGGGAGGGAATGACGTTTCCCTTCCCCTGACCGATGCTTCTACGGGCGCTCGTGATAACTTCACGTTGAGATCATCAGTGCATGAAAATGTATCAGTTTCGTGGACAAAGAGCCGTTTCTCGCAAAAGGAACACAAGCAACAAGTTTGATACGAAGTGGTATCATAAAGTTTAAAATTCTCGCGTTCTGTGGAGAAAAATAAATTTGTCTTTGTTTCAATGTTTTACCATTTGGTATATAAAAGAAAGCTTATGCAGTTTTTATTCTCTCTGAGCTTTAGTTACCTTGTTGACTGGATCGGATGTGATCCACAACTAGCTGAAGAATCTTTGTTTGCCTTAATCGGTGGCCAAGTTGTAGCTGTTGATAAATTGAATAGCAATGGTAACTAGCACCCAGTTCCTCGGGAGTTCACTTTTCTATCCATTATAATTCCTAAACATCTTCGCTTCTTTTGGCAAGCAAAGCCTTAGCGCAAGAAATCGAATAGCCTCTTGATTTGTTAAGCGAACGCCCCGTCAGCTCACATAACAGAGGGGTTCTGAGATGAGAATAGGGTCAACCTCGCCCCCTAGGCGTTTCTCTTTGAATGTGGCAGGGGTGGGGGGGGGGGTCAGAGGATTTATTTGGCTTCATGATGAATCTGTAAATCTACGAATTTGTATCGTAAATGGTATACTGGGTAAGGAACCTATTTCCTTGCTAAGAAACTCTCCTTTGAAGAAAGGAAAGCTGGTAGCAACAAATCCCCTTTTGTTAACGGCAACCGACATTCTGACTTCCTTATGGAAATTAACGCGACTGGGTCTGCGAGAGAATTACTCATTCATAAACAAACCATTTCCGGCTGCATATATGTGCAAAGTCGATTTCTTTTTTCATGGGAATTGATCTTAAAGTTGTTAATTAATCTTTACTTTAGAAAACTGCCACGTTTATAAAAAATCCAGTTTTCGTTGCATCAGCGTGGAAAGACCCGTGATCAAAGTATGATATTAGCGGTAACCGCGCTCCAGTAAAGTCAGTTCTAGCCAAACTGCTCATAAAAATTTTCAAAATCGGTTACCTGTTTTCTAGCCTCTGGAATAAGCGAGGCCAGTTCTTCTAAGCTTTTCTTGATCCTGTCTCTTCGCTGTTTTTCCACAAGTTGTTTCGTTTGCCTTCTTTTTGTCTTCTACATGGGCCGGACCGCCAGATCCATGCAAAGCAAAAATTAAGATTTGGCTCTGGAACTACATTTTTCCGATTCTTTTTCGAGATATATCTATTGTCTGAATTAGTCATACGATTGCATTACCTTGGCTTGAGCGCTTTCCATTGCTTTCACGTCAACTGTAACAAGATTCTTGCAAAGTTTTCAATGTTTGTCAAGAAGTGAGGTACCTTGCCCCGCTACATCCATGTGAACTGCCGAATTATTATGTTCCAGGCCCCATATAACCTTCCCGTCAAGTATGATTGACGTTTCAGATGCCATTCAAGATCAAATCTGCAGATTATCCGTGTGAAAATTTTCAGCTTCACGTGAAGTGTTACTTCAATCCGGCGCCACACAACAGTTTCATCCAGGTGTCGTGAAATCGAAAGCCAATATTACGAAGGTGTGATCGAGACAAGAGATGAATGAGTTTTACTTCCACAAGGGTTTAATGCATTAAAAGTTGAGCCTTTATCGTTTATGTCCAAGCGAGTCTCTCAAAAGCCATGAAAACTTCTGCAATATCTTAAAAGTTCATCATCCAAATTCAATTCAATTCAACCAGCTCTTTAACGACTTTTTCGTTTAAAAAACATTTCAACGGCTGAAGAAAAAGTCGGTTACTATCCGAGTGCTATCTTTCGAAAATTTCTTTGCCTGCTATCATTTCTATAAAAGTTTTAGAGAGTATCATATGAAACATTGCCATTTGTATTCATTGAGTTTCAGCTTTTAAATTTGATACAATTTGAACATTCGGCGTTTAAAAAAAGCTTTTTATTCATAAGACTTTTACCCCATTCACACCACCAAAGTAGACGAAGCTGAGTAATAAAATCAGCAAAAGAAAACTGAAAAACTGAATTTTTACGTGGGGTTTAAGTAATCATCAACTTGTACTTCCATTTTTGCTAAATTGGAAGGCAACAAACATCAGTTTCTCAAACTGTGTTTAACAACACAGCCTTGAAACGTGTTTTAACTTTGGGTATGAATTGGGTGTATGTCTAGGTGTATGTCTAGTCATTAATTAATCAAAATCTGTGGATTACATATCTTTTCCTCTCAATACGCATGTCCCTCGTCATAATTTGACAACAAGGGTTTACATAAACACGTTGATACGCGATTGGTACAAGAATTGCATGTGTGGTTAGTCTTTCATTCATCTCAGTCGGATTCGACAGGACAAAGGTAAACATCCAGCCCTTGATACTAAAACTACACTGAGAAAAATTCTCGTATTTGTTCATTACCTAATGTTCCTAGAAAGTTGTCTTATGTGACTGATTTATCCTCGTTACTAAGAGGACAGCAAAGAGGGAGTCCTGATCCCGTTTCACACACAAATTTGACAAAAATTCACGCGTCACTTATGTAAAAGAGAAAATTTCAACTCTCTTCTTATGTACGTTTCAGAAAAATCCTAAGGTTTTCAAGAAACAAAAGAAGAATTAATTCACGGGTCACGTATATTTCAGGAGTTATATAACGCCTCAAACTGTTTCACAAATTCACGATTTACTTTCGCTTTTCTGTAAAATTCACGCGTCACATATTCAGTTTTTGCCTTGATCACCCGCCACGTTAAAACTCTTTCGCGTCCTCTACAAATTCAGCCAAAATTGAGCCGAAGACAAATTAATTATTAGCAACTTTGTGAACTGAAGGTGGTATGAAAACGGTTAACACTTGATTACAAATTTAAGTAAGCCCGTACGTCTGACAAAAGTTTTTCTTTTGAAAGAAGACAACAATCACAGACGACAACAAAACTGTGGTCAAGATGTTTTAAGTCCCTTATCCTTCTCATCAACCCCAAACCTCCCATCCCTGGGTAAACTCTGCTCAGACATTTCAGCAAGAAGAGGATCACAGACCTAACAAAATTTTACATAGAAAAATCTTTTCCGTAATGAACCAAAATAACTCAATTGTACAAACCTCAAGGAAAAGGAAAATGGTACCCGATTTATACACAATTCTTTATTTTATGCTCATTTTCAGTGAAAAACATTCAGTATTGCTCACAATACACTCAAGGATGCGATACAGGACCTGAGAGGAAATCTCTTACGAGAACACATTAACAGAGTAAAAAGCAAGAAAAAAAACAAGTCGATGGATCTTATTAATCACCTACAAGTTTTTCGGTTGTGTATGGTATATGCAACTTGGACTCCGTAAAATTACTCTATCGAATTTTAATCTACTTCTCGCTGTTCAAAGCTTCGATGAATTGTTCCAGACTTTCTTGAATGTGTCTCACATGTTCTGAAATTTAAAGGAAAAAAGAAATCAAAATTATAATAGAGTTGGGGTAAACCACTATTATCATAACAGAGGCGGAAAAATTAAATAAAATAAAAAAGGATTCTAGAGAGCACAGACGTAGAGAAAATCAAACGAAGCTAGCTGGGGCTTTTTTCTGATGTTCTACCACCCTCCGACATAGGACACTTTAGAAGAGTTGTATCTTGTGGTTGGCTATTTCAGTGGCACGTGTCCATCTACGACGGGAGAGCAAAGAGGATGAGGTAAGGGGTGATAAGTTTGCAAATCGGCACATTTGGCCGGACTGCGATTTTATTTGCTAAAAAAAATAACCGGGTTCGAAAAGAGTATAAAAATACCGTGAATTGTGGAGTGTGATTTATCCCAGCGAACTAAATGGCACCACAGAAAAATAAAAAGATTTCCAAAATTTTCACACGTTACTCCGACAATTTTCTCTTCCCTTCGCTAATTAAAGAGCCGAACACCCACCCTAGCACGTGGCGTCTTTGACAGTTTCGCATTTTGGAGGAGAAACTTACAAGTCTTAAAAGAGCATAAGGCAAATTCAAGATTCACACGACAAAAGTCACGTCCAAATTTACCAGGTAAAAGAATTTTGGAACGATGGACTCATTAGCAGATCATTAACGCTTTCATATTAATTATATTGAGCTGATACGTTTGTGAAGAATACAACAATTGAATACTCTGAGAAAATTGTGCTCCCAAGCGTCTGGTTGGGTTCGCATGGATTTTTAAAAACAATAAAAACTGAGTCAAAAGTTTTGCTTTGCTAATGGTTTCGGGCTTTCAAATCACATGAAATCTAGTTCTGTGTATTGTTTATTTAACTTCAGGTTTATCCAGTAACATTGTGAAATGAAATTATGTAAATATTCACTCGGGGAGTAATATGGCAGAGATTGGCAAGCCAGCCATGTGTAAAGAGTGTAACCAAAGAAACAAGGATTACTTGAAATTATGACTTTTAGACAACATCTTACAATGGATCGTGAAATTTCACACTCTTTTCGTTGTTTTAAAGACAAAAGGTTTGAATTCTAGCCAAAAATTTTTTTCGTCTGGGTAAATTTCATCAAGGAACAGTATTTGAAATAATCGCCAACTAAAGAGGCGTTTGATTGTTTGACAAATTCTCCTTGTAATACCACAGGAAATATACAGAGAAAAGTGAGGAGAATATGCATACTGATGTGAAGGTGTAAAAAGTTAAGAGGAGCTTAGAACGACTCACAACAATTCACTTACTTAATTCTTCAGCAAGATCCACTTGTCTTCCTCGAATGAGTCGCTCTTTAGCTGTCTGATCGTAGCTTATTTCATCCAGAACTTGTTTCACCTCTTTCTCCAGTCGGCGAGCTACAAGATTTGAAGATGAGGTCAATTTAAGAAGAACAAAAACGACCCTTGGTACAATTATTACAAAGGTAGTAAGGGCCACACAAAGGAAGGTCAATATTGGCTAAGTTACCTTCATTGGTTCATTACTTGTTGTCTAATGGCGTTACTTGTCGTTTGTAGCATCTTCTGGATTCGCCAAAATAGGACCACGTCGTTGCATGCCAGCTAAAAAGAGAAAAACGGACGAAAAATGTAGCTTGTTAATGAACTTCAACGTGTTCCATCTCCTCCGACCCTCCCCCCACCCTACCCCCTCCCCGTTCATCAAGACTGGTACATGGTGAGTTTTGACTCACCTGACCCCACCGTTCTTATCCTGCAGGCCTTATTCTCGCTGTTTTTAAGACACTTCTGCGAAGTTACATTCGTCATATTATCCTAAACATACCCCCCAGCTTACCTCCGTTTTTCTTGATATACGTGCGATTTCCTAACCAATAAACAGAGGCTTTCAATATAAAAACCCTTAATCAGGATTGTATTCGACTCTTGCGACCTTTTTCCCCCCCCCACAAATCATAGCCGTCCTCATTATTAGTGTAACAGTTCACGCTGCAAGACGCGTGTTTTTCCGCCTCCGGGGAGATTTGAGTGGAGACGTTTGCCGGGGGTCCGGCGCTAACTACCACCTCAGCTGACCTCGCGCCGCTCGCTTGCTCCAGGCCTCTCACTTTCCCGCGAGCGAAGAAACACTCGTGCTGAGGCGCTGCTCATAAGAAAAAGGAGGCACTGCTCGCGGGCTAAAGTTCAAAGTTTTCGTCAGTCCACTATTAAATTTCAACATTTTCGGTCTTCTTTTATACATGAGGATTTCTCCTGAAGTATAAAAATACTGAAATAGAAACCAGGCCTCTTGTACCTCATTCTTGACCAAATCTCTTCTGTAGAAAGCATTTCTACATTCCTGAACGTTCCCCAGGGCCTGCTTTAAAAAGTGCTCCCGATACAACTGGCTCCAAGTTTCAGTTACCTTATAAAATAATAATAATATAGAAAAATTAAATAACTAATTCAACGAATAAATCATTAAAAAATAAATACATAAAGGAAAGAAACACAAAATTTGCTATAAAAAGAACAAAATACCACTGTCTAAAAAGTAGTTAAATATGAAACTAAACAACTTAGACAAAAATTGCTTCGATGTGCCTCAAAATTCTCAAAGTATGCACCAAAAAGACGTCATAGCCAAGACAGAGAAAAATTAACCACATCAACTACTAACCAGGTCTGGTGAGACGTCCACGCTGATTGTTTCCAAGTTTTTTCTTACTGTGGTAAGTTCATCGTCCGCTAGAACTGGACCGTGTCTCTTCAAATATTTCAGCAAAAAAACAGAATTAACCTTTTACATCTTATCATCAGTATAGATAATCTCCATACTGTTCTCTACCCATTTCCAAAGGTGCTATCGAAGAGAAATCGCGTTACCATCAAGGGCTTTTTCAGATGGTGATCATTTGCCTTATTCTCGTAACCTTAATGCTTGATTCAGGGGTGATGTTTTAAGGAGAAATTGGATGCTGGTCACTCTTACAGTTCGAAGGGTTACAAAGAATTGCATCTTCTACCGTGTAACGCTCCTTTTCAATTTCCTTCGAACATTTAGTGGCTTGTCGTCTCGAATTCCCAAACCTTGTTACCAAAGTCCTCTCTCTTCTAGATCAAAGGGGAGCTTGGGAGCAAACGTTGCGAATTTCTTATCAAAGTTAAATCTTTTTTCAAAGGCAAACTGATTCGTAGAATGCCTTGTTATGAAAGAGAACAGTTTCGCCTTTTGTTGACTTAATGAAAATGAAGCGAGAAAGAAATTAGTGAGCCAATTATCTAAATTGAAGAGGAAAACAGAACTCGATGGAAATTAGTAATACGAGAAAGACTGGGAAAAATCGCACATAACAGACCAGAAACTTTTCTGACGCAAACAAGATGTTTTTACGCTGTTCCAGGAAAGAAGAAAATTCAATAATTGGACTAAGAATACTAACTCGGGGCTCGGGGGGGGGGGGAAGAGTAGGAGAGGATTTCATGCAAACGGTTTAAGTGAGAGAAAAATAAGAAAACATTTAAATTCGTTCTCAATAAAGCTGAGCTTACCTCGTTTGCTTGGAGCAACCTCTGGAGTTCGTCCTTTATATAGGAACGGTGTTGCTTAAGTAATAATAATAATAAAAATAAAAATAAAAATAAAAACAATAAGTTGTTACGCCTCTTTCCTTTGCTCATGAGACAAGACAAAATAAGTTCCAGTTCATTCAAGAAACCCCATAGACATCTATTGGACGCTGATTTGCGATTTCGGACGCTATCGTACGACTACGTTCTCAAACGTTTAGTCCGTTTTCAGAAACTTAATCCCGATTTCTGACACTTTTATCGTATTAAAACACTTCCACCTGATTTCAGACACGACAAATTAGACTGATATTGGACGTCCGATTTCAGAGGCTATCGTCCTATTTTACGCACTTGCGTCGGATTTCAGACGGTTTCTTCCGATTTTGAAAAGCTCAACTTCTTCAAAAGGAAATTGAGCGAATAAGCAAAGAGAAGATTAATGAAGACAACCACCGGGAAAAGATGAAACAAGGTAAAATCGCCTGATTGACGAAAGAACTTCTGGTGTTAACTGGAGACCATCCATTGATTTCGAAAGGTTCTTTCCAATTTAGGACACCTATGTTCCATTTCGGGCGGTTTAGCCCGATTTCGGATTTAAGGGGGACAACTGTCCACAATTCATAACGATGACTTACTTGCTCTCTGCTTCTGTATTTCCAGTAAAACCATCTCTCAGCCCTTCCAGGACCAAGCAAGTCATACATTTCCTTAGATGCTGAAATGATCATGAAAAGTTTTTTTACAGACTGTCTGAAAAGATGATCACTGTCACGGATCACCTCGGTTTCCATAATATAAAGGGACTACAACTACTACTACGGTACTCCTCCGTGACAAAGAACTACTTCTCACAAGTAACCTACTTGCTTCCCCCGAGGCAAACAGTTCTTTCTCCTGTTTCCTTCACACAAGGCGAGACGCGCACGAGGGGGGAAACGCGCGCGTCTCTCGTCCTCTGAATTCTTAAAAAAAGTTGAGATAACATCTATTCTGCCGGCTCGAAGGTGATAAAAACCATTTGTAGCCGGCAAGCTTAATCCTGCTTAAGATAGGTAGTCAAACATTATCACCACTGTGAAGAGAAAAACAAAGTATCCGTGCTTGTTTTGATACCTTTGTCTAATTCTTCTTGCAAAGTTCCTTCCATGAATTTCACTGCAGAGTCCCATTGTTGTTTCTCACTCACAGACCAGTCTTCAAGTGCTGTCAGCTGAATTACTCGCTGAAAGGAACACAAGGGCTACATATTAACACAGAAGCAGTTTCCATTTACTTGCAGTTGTAAAGCAATTTGTATTGGGTTTGCTTTAAACGCTCTGCTATTAGCCTTGAAAACTCGCCTTAACGTATTAACCAATCAGATGCAGCTCGGTAATTCGCGTTAATACAACTAATTTGTTTGTAATATATAGATTTAGCCAAGCCTAAAAGCGGAGCTCGCATTTTTTTTCCCGCGGTACAATTGACCACGCATGTTAAAAGTAGCACCTTGTACGGTCGTACGTCCAAATTTATCGGCTTCATGGGTTACTACTATTTTGTATAATTATGGGGCTACGCTCTGCGAGCTCCACTATAAGCTTCACAACTCACCAGACTATCTACGGCTTTTGACTGCCACACATGGCTTCTTTTGCATTCATCTGATAGTTCAGATTTGAGTTTCTCGAATAAGTGGCTATGCCCGTCTTTATCATTCTTCTGTTCCTGTAAACAATACACAGCTTGCACAATTTAAAACAGGGAACGAAAGCATGCTTCAAAAGTCGATAGGAAAAAAAAAATTAAGTCACCTGCATAGCTTTGGAGAATTCTTCAAAGAGTGTTTCCCAACCAACCTAACAGTGACAATCAAAAGTTTCCGATGACACAAATACTTAGAGACAAAACGTCACAATTACAGAATGTCTTCTAAAAGTTTCAAATTCATAAATTTAAATCCAGGTCAATCTTTTCAATATTTGTCCATCACATGTTCCTTTTTAGTTCATTCTACCTCTGAAGTGTTTCTCGATCACAACAAGCCATTATTTTTATCTTGTTTTACAATTTTTCGGGTTAAAAAACCCTTAAAAATGGCGTGGTGTGTCCTTCAAATTTGAAGTCCACATTAGCACTTCGTACGTTTTTCTATCTGTCACTGTAACTCTAAGCGGATGCTGTCATTTTTATCAACATTTTTACAATGTTGGAAATTCTGAAATATTTTCATTTTGTTGATAGGGCACTGCCTTATTGCTCCTTTCCCCCTTGAGAAGCCAAACGCAATTCTCCCCACTGCCGATTGCACAATTTTTATCATGTTAGTTCTGAGAATCTAGTGTTAAATCAATTCAATTTCAAGAGCTAATTTTGTATTTCATCTCATCAACTGTTTGGTTGATAATGTACCGATATTGTAAGGAGAAATTACTTTTTGGTCACTTTTAAGAGTAACAGGATTAACCCTGTAATTCCAATGAGTGACCAACATGGAATTTCTCCTCACAACATCAATATATAACCAAGCAGACAAGTGGGGAGAATATAAAAGAAAATCTCAATTACTGGGGGGAATTACTGATGAGATCTCGAGAGTGAAAAGATTAACAGATTGTGTATACCTTGACAGAAATATCAGGCAGTGTCCTGTCGGCCCACTGTTTCAGCTTGATGTCAACAGACGTGTTAAAATTGCTTGGATTATCCGCCTGTGCAGCAGGCAAGTAGATGGCTTCTATGAAGTGAGAAGACACTGCTGACCACAAGTGTTTGGTGATGATGTCCTCCCACATCTGTGGCGTGATCTCACTTAGGGTAAGCACTTCATCCAGGATTTCGTTACGAGCTTTATCAAACAGCTCATTCTATAGAAAACAAGATTTTTAAGGGCGACGTTCAATTAGAGATAGTTTAAAGGGTCCTAATTATTTCGGAGCTTGGAGAAGACGCGACTTGCACGCGACGGGAAGGGACGGAATTTCTGGTGCATACGACATACCGACAAAATTATGGCGCCAAAGTATTGCTGTAACGCTATGTTTTAATCCTGATTGGTTGGAATTATTCGGTAAGATTTTCGGTTACATCCGACGATTTGCCGAAATTAATCAATTCTTTTGTAGAGCGTCTCCATGCCGCGGGTTTATTTTACACCAGATGCAGCCCTTTTGTATAAGCAAACCTGTAGTATACATGGAACACGCTACACAAAACTAATTTTCAATACCAAAACTTACCCTGTCCAACTCTCTCAGCTTCGGAAAACAGTTTTTCCATTCCGTTTCAAGATTGAACCGTTTCGCTGAAAGAAACAAAAAAAACACACACAATCATTTTCCATTTCTTCTCTTCAGTGACTGAAATACGACAAAGACAAAAGACAGGGAAGGAAAAAGAGAAGTTTTCCGGCCCTCATTCTACTCACGGCTCCGCTGTTCCCGTATTCACTCCCAGTAACAAATATCGAAAAGGCCCAGTACAATTCGCAATGTAGGGACTTAACCATTCGACCTCTAAGAGTGACTAGCATCTAATTTCTCCTTACAATATCACCCTTGAATCACATATTGAGGTCATGAGAATAAAAGGGAATGATCACCAACTGAAGTAGCTCTTGATTGTTCAACAAATTCTCCTTGTCAGCACCTTAGGAAATGTATAAAGAACAGTATGGAGAATATGCATACTGATGTTAGGGTGTAAAGGGTTCATACCTTTGTATGAATCTGCCTGCTGCTCAATCGATTCTCGCACCATTTTCCAGAAGCAGTGTGAAACAGCAAAGCTTAGGTTTTGCGTCGTCATTTGACAGGCTTTGAAAACTCCAGACCTTTATAATAAGACAAAAAAAAATTGAAAAATGACCACGAAATATTTAAAAAACAAAATTTGCGAAGCAATTAGTGCAAATAATAGACAACATTTATAACAGGAGATAATAGTCGATTATTGCACATCAAGGATATTTTTGGAGGCATACTGTTGTTATTGTTAATAACCTTCCAGCGGAAGCAATGAAAATTGATCTTTTCGTCGTGACGCAAGCATTTTAAATTCGCAAGGAATCCAATCTTTTTTTGTCCCATTACACGCAGTTTTGTGTCAGTGCACGCATTTAATGACTTCTATTTGACTGATTTTGAGTAATTAACACATTCACCCCTGATGAAGGCACTAGACAGGAGTGTCGAAACGTTGGGTCTATGAATTGTAACTTCTTCGGTTACATTCATTAAATCTGCAAACCAGTGTAGCATCAAACTATGTCTGATTGTCCACCTGGTTGCCGTGTGAACTTTAATATATTTTAATTAACACGTGTTTTACACTCTCTTACGAGCATTTGTTATCACACGCAGGTGCATGTCGTGGCGTGCGATGTGCGTATTTCCCGCGTCTAGTGCGAGGAAATTACACGCGCGTCAAACGCGTGCAATACTGCTGTACACGAGAGCGGTACTCTATGTTTACTTCTTTGCTCTTATATGCTCACAACATTGACACTTACTTGCAAAGTCTGGAGTGTCTGAAGAATTCTTCTTCATAGCCACGAATGGCGTCAATCCCCTCACTGGTATTACCTGAAAGTGCATTAAATACAGCCAAAATTAGAACAGCCAACGAGCAGTTATTTTTTTAGCATTTCCCTATCGTTGAAGCGATTAAACGACTATCTGATTAACTCAAAGCATCTTGATTGACTGAAATATTTTCACTCACCTGTTCCAGTCACAACTGCAAAGTAGCCCAAAGCTTTCATTGGGAAAAGCTTGCCTTCCAGTATTTGTTTAATCTAATGATGAAATAACAGCATCAGTTAGTGATTCAAAATGGACTGAGTTCGGAGAGATTGAAAATCTCACCAAATGTCAAACATTCCTACCCGGCTGGGGTTGGCATCGTTCTGCTCTGCTAAGTCTACTTTTGTCAGCACAAAGATTGTCCTTTTCCCTGTAGAAGTACAGAAAATCGCATTTTGTAACACAGAGTAACTGGCTGAAAAAAAAAACTGCTCCCACAATTGTAATTCATCTACCAGCGTTTTTTTCCTTTGCTCATATGAGAACAACCTTGACTTGCTTTTAACCTTCCAACTCCCAGAAGTGATTAACAAGTAACTTCTCCCTAAAATATCCATACACTATCCAGTAAACAAGTGGTGAGATTATTCAAACATTTTAGTAGAAGTTGTTATCTGGATCTTACAGCAAATTCTTATAACTAATTTACAGGAAACTGTGTAGCAGCTAGAGGGGAGAATTTAAAATCAGATCTCAGGACTTTAAGAATTTGAAGTATATTAATGAATTACCACTGTTTTTTTTTTACATACCTGCTGGATCCATGCTGCTCACTAAATCAGTAACATTGCTCCTTTCAGCATCGATAGAGCCATCTGTTTGACACACAAACATTACATTTCACAGTATTCAAGAAGCACTGCCATTAACTTACAAAACTTTGAGTAAGACAAAACACAACTCAAGTCAAAATTCTGTTTTCTAAATATCAGCTACCTTTTACCAAATGTAAGCTGCTTCTCACCTTGAATACACAAGATTATTGCATTTGGGTTCTGCATGTACTTCCTGAAATTATTCAAAGAGGATGTTTAAATCCATAGCTCTCGAATGTAATTCTTGAAGTTACCACTTCTCACAAATTATAATTGCTTTGATTGCAACACAAAACCATGTAACATTAAATTTTGTAGAAGCTTAAATGTAAAATCACAAATTATTAAAATCACAGAAAAATTAACTGCAAAGTTCCTTAACCCTATAACTCCCAAGATCTCATTAGTAATTCTCCTTACTGTCTACCAAATAATCTTCATTATGTTAGTTTGGAGAATTTGGTATCAGATCAATTAGTAATCTGATAATTGCTATTTCCTTTCTTCTCATCACTTGTCTGCATGTTAGATATAGTGAGGAGAAATTCTGTCCTGGTCACTAATGGGAGTTAAAGGGTGAACGACATCCAACCTGCTCATTTCAACAATGTCATCCTTTGTGTTTTCTGCCATTCCAGCTGTGATTGTCTGAAAAATAAAATAGTATGTTCTCTTCACTCTTGCCATTCAATTATACAAAATGAAAATAAATAAAGAAAAAATTTTGTTCCTTGTGGCTTAACATCTTTTCAAGCAAAATTTACCATAGCAGTAGTTAAAGAAAAAAAAGAGAAAAAATGAATCCATTAAAACACACCCCAATAATTCCTGGAAGGTCAACCAGCACCATGCGATGAAGTCCTGGGCCTTTCACACTCAGAGATATCACCTAAAATAAACATCGACATAAGAATAAAATACCATTAACTAAAATCAGAGGTTCATCATAAAATAAACAATGATTGTAAAAAAATATTACTCACCTCAGGACTAACTGTCTGTCCATGTTGAACACTGTTCCGCATTCGCATTTCGATTTCCTGCCTCAGAGCTTTGAGCTGCAAGATTCAAACTATGCTATAATTAAGAAGCCCTATTTCATTAACATTTATCACCTAGTATTAAGTGAGAGCACAAGATTGGGTGGAGTTAATTATCCCAAATCAAAATATTCTTAATTCTTTGTCAACAGCAACTAACCTCGTTTTCCTGTGTGAGGTCATATTGATGAGTACTTCCCTTGAACTGTGCCATGTGATTAGGTCCCTCACTCAAGGTCACCTAAAGTAATACAAAACACAATAACTGATGAGTTAGTCATAGTTATTTTAAGAGCAAAAAAAATTCACTCATCATAAATGAACGTACTCCATCATACATGTATATATGCTGATTTGTCACAACACTTGTCACAAAATTTTGTTCTGAGTAGTACCACTCATTTATTAAAATAAATATATTTTGATAGATAAGCTTATCACATGCTACAAAGCCCAGTTGTACAAAGGGTAGATAATGCTATCCAATGGATAAAACAATTATCAAGGGACAAGTGTTAACAAAATATAATGGGATATCTATCTGATAAAGATTCATCCTGTATAAAGCATTATCCAACCTTTGAACAGCAGTAAAGGTTGAACTGGAAAACCCTCAAAATAAATAGGATGTTCTGTAGCTATTCTGAAGTAGTTGACCCATTCTTACCATGACTGGTGACCTTGTCATCATCTGACCAGAACCTCTGTAACAGAATTCAAAATGAGGACAATTACCATCGCAACCTGTTAGAATCAGTACCAAACCCTTTTGGCTAAAATATTGCAATGATCATACATAAAGTTGTACTTAAAGCACATGTACAGTGAAAAGAAAGTTACTGAATGGTTAAAAGGAAGCTATTACCATTTTACAATACTGTGCATAAAAGATGTAACTAACCTAGGAAAAATCCTAGCTTGGGCAATCATTTCTAAGACACTTGTTTTGCCTGCACTTTGATCACCAACCACTACCACCTGAAAACCATCATAACAAAAGAACAATGACCTTGGACATGTGTAGTTTCCACTCCACCACCCCCTCCCCTCTCCTTCCTTTTGACTGTCACTCACCCCCTTAGAAAAAATTTATTTCCCTTCCCAGCCTGTTGCTGCAGTACAAATAAAATATGGCAGCAATAATTTTCACCAGGTAACACTTAGCACTAGCTCGCCAAAACTACAACTGCTCTGCAGGTTAATGAATATAAAGTAAGAGGAATCTTTCACAACTTGAGAAAGTCGTTTCAAAGGTATATCACAGATTGCGACTCACCCTTGGAAGATGGTCTGTGGTGTTATAGCTCACATCATACTCTGAGAGCAAGTCCAGAACATCAGAATACATGTCAATCAAAGATTTCTGACAGAAAGAAAGCGACACAGAAAATAAATAGAACTCTCTCAATAGTCCTGATCCCCACACAGTGTTCAATAGAAGGTGCATTACACACAACTTTAATAATAACTCACACAATAAAATTATTCTTATAACTATTAATTCACCTGAGCTTTCACTCCCAAGATATTGTTTATTTAGTAATTCATCTGTCTCTCGGCCATACAATCAACTAATCATCCCCTTGCTGATATTTTTGTATATTCTCATCACTTGTCTGCTTGACATTGTGTTGATATTAGGAGGAGAAATTCTGTCAATGGTCACTCATGGAAGTTGAAGGGTTGAAGGACTTTTTTTTAAATTTCACTTGAAACCTTTAGTTTGACATGGAGGATTTTCACTTTTTGTTAACCTTTACCAAAAATAGAAAAGGAAATATCTAAACTTACCCTTATCTTTCTGGGGGTTGGCATGCTGTCACCCTTCAGAATGATAACTTGTTTTCGCAACTCTCTATTATCTCGTTCAAGCTTTTCGATCTCTCGTTGATATCTTTGCTGTGGAGAAATTAAACATTTATTTCAATTAAACTTCTTTTAAGTTATTAGGTAGGAAGAGTACCTCACAGGTACCAGTACACCCACTAAAACACCCTTAATAAATCCCTCTGCTTAGGGTAATCAAGCTTGGTCTGTTAATCAAAGTTGTATTGTGAACATTGAGAAATTTGTAATGATGCTTTGTTTGCAGATTCAGTCTTAGTCTGTTTGATATAGAGGTATAGGCAGGTTAAGTCTGTGCCTGAGCTTAGGTGCCCTGATTTCTGTAACATGAAGTGACAGGGAGTATTACTGCTGCCCCTGAATGGTAATTTCCAGTGAAGTCAATCATGGGTTACCCTCAGGCATTTCATTAGCTTTCCCTGATAAATCAGCATTACCCATTTAAACTCCTGATTGGAGAGAGGTACAATTGAAGTTAAGGGTCTTGCCCAGGAATACAACACAATAGAGAGTTTAAGATGTACGTTTGTTTCTGAATGCGTGTGACATTTGTTTCTGAATGCATGTGACTGCAAACTGCTGGGAGTCACTTGTCCAGACTTCAGTTGTCATGTTCACCGTTTGCCGTCTACATTTAAACTTCAAGCAAGGCAGTTTCAGGTAGTTGAACTCCCTTGACGTTATTTTTATTCCTGTTCAAGAGTTCTCACATATGTCCTATAAACATATGTGAGGTGAAATCTTTTTATTATAACCAATATGTTTGGGAAGCTTGAAAACCAATCTTTTAGCCATATTTTGTGTTTGAAATGAAGGATCTCCATCCTTTGTATAATTCAAGATGGCGGCGCACATGTTGATTTTTTTTCAGGTGAAAGCTGATGTTAATCTAAAAAGCTGAAAGTCTCAAAACTTCTAACTTCTAACCACAAACTGCTGACTGTGGTTTGATGTTTGTGGTGAAAACACCAAACATGGATCTAAAACTCTCTAATGACCCTGGACCTCTTGAACATAGAGTCCAGCCTGTTAAAGGTGCAGCCATCATATCTCTCTTGTTTGATAGGAAACAGTGATCAATCAATGTGGTCTAACCTGCATTTCAATAAGTTCTTCTTGAGATTTCTCTAAACGCTCTTGCATCTGTCATTTGAAGAATTGTAGAGTTGTGTCAACATTAAAAACCATTACGTACCTTTCACTTGAAATTAATGTAAAAGAATAGTACTTTATTGCTATAAAACCTTAGTTGACCAATAAACATTAGTCAAATACCATATTCACTTAATTTAGCATCCCAAGCACTTATCAAATTTATGGGCGTTAAGAGTGGGTGCTTATTCAAGACTGGGCACCTTTAAAATTTTCACTATTTTTAGCAGATATTCTAATTTTAAATAGCAACAAAAAAATCAATAATGACTAAACAGAAAGATGTAACATAAGCAGAAAATTTTAAGATGGCAAGCCAGTAAAGAAAAAATAATCAATACTCCTCTTAGTTGCCCATTAACTTTTCCTACCTGCAGGGTGTGCACTTATTCAACATGGGTACATATTCAAAATGGGTGCTTTTTCAGGGTAGGCATTTATTCAAGGTGGGTGCTTATTCAAGGTTGGGCATTTGATAAAAGGACAACAATGAAATATTACCCAAACTTATCAACAGAACTTTAACAGCAAACCAACACAACACCACCTATTCTGAGATCACTACCTCTCCAGTCATGGATGGAACCACTGCATTTTCACATAAATCCAGTGAATTGTCTCCAACAAGGAATAGAATTTTTAAATAATTACGGACACACTGCTGTAACAGAGGTTGAGTAGTTACCTTTTCCATAGCTGTTTTCTTTGGTGATGATGTCTTTTCACCATTTTCTTGTTTAATAGCAGCAGACACCACTGGAGGGCTGACTTCTGACACAAAGAAAAGACAAAACTTAAAGACAACTCACTTTTTTTACTATAAGGATTTCCTTATATAAGCCTGGTACCTTAGCAGTCCTTTTCAAATTTTTCCTTTAACTCTTGTACCCAATCTCAAACTGTCCTTTCAAGCTACATGTGAAGTACATCACATGGGTACTGATCCACCACAAATAAATTTATAGCCAATGGCTACCAAGATGAACAAAAAACAACCTTAAACCTTTCATCTCAGTTTCTGAATTGTTATGGCCCAGTCTGTAAGATTGGACACAAAAACCAAGACACTAGTACTAAAAAGTTAGATTTTTACAGATGGTAAAGTGGACCAACCTACTGACATACATACTTAATTGAGACTCCTTTCAATAAGGCTTTTCAGTCACAATAATTATTACCTACATTACCATCAATGTTGGTAGTACAAAATAGTTTCACATGATAAACTATCACTCATTTTCACATCTTGCAAGTATCATAAATTAGTGCTAAACAACAGAGTGTCCATTCTCACAAAAGGGTATCAACAACTGCGATAATGATGATGATGATGATGATGATGATAAGAATGATATTAAACTTGTCACAGCTGCATGCATTATACCTGAAGACCAAAAATCATCCACAAAATCCTTAAAGCTCTCAACAAGGCTGCGAGTGGCATCTGAGCCTAATAGTTAACATAAAAACAAAATAAATGGAAATAATATGAGAACCAAAAGAATGGCACATGGAAGATGATTGAAACTCTTTGCATGAAAAACTAATTTTTAGAATTTTTAACATATTTACTTCATAATTTTAAATTACCTTCTGAAAATGTATTGGACCAGTCCGGTAGATTTTCTCGCAGATCTTTCAACCAGCTAAATTCAGGTAATGTTTCTTGAAATTTTAGCCACTTGTCCTTCCAGGAATCATATGTCTAAGTTGAAAGAGGACTAGTTATGCTAGCTAAATAAAATTGTTCTCTCAGGATATCCTACTTTCTGAACCTAGTGCAGCTTAACCCTTTAACTCCCAAGATCTGATTATTAATTCTCCCCTCTAGCTACGACACATTTCCTTGTAAATCAGTTATAAGAATTTAGTGTTAGATCAAAATAACAACTTCCACCCAATAAGTTGGAGTTTTCTCGATACCTGTTTGCAGGATGATGCATGGATATTATAGGAGAAGTTCTATGTTAATCACTTCTGGGAGATAAAGGGTTAAGTGCTCAAAGAACCCCTGATGGATTTAGGAAGCAGGCATTCTAAACCTTTGGGCTTGGATGGAACAATTCAAAATAAAAACAATTCAATAACACTATAATGAAGAAGATCAAAATTCATTGCTAAGAACCAATAACTCACCACTTTTGCAGCAATACCTCCTGCACCTGCTGTGCCAAGAAGAAGATACCTTACTCTTGTTACTCGCATCATAGCCCTCAAGATCCCTGTAGTAAACAAGCGTTCTCCTTTCAGACCCCTGTTTATAAGAATCCGTGTGGCAACAGGGAACATTCCATAGGGCATTCTGACAAATGTTTGAATGTTCCTTTGTCTCAAATTTAACAAAGTGTGAATGTGGTTTTTATGATAATTGATACATCTCCCTGAAGCAACATATTTTGAGAGAAAAATCTCAGCTCTCTCTGTAGCTTTCCTTTTTAAACATTGTTCACAGTGAAGGCTGAAAAAAGAAAAAAAAAGGATTCAAACTCAAATGAATGTTCATTTAGACTCAGGAGGAGAACAGCAACTTCTCTTTACTGTCAGAACATCACAAGTCACTTGAACAGAAATCAGAGTACCTGTCTCAATTAGTAGTACTACATTTTATATATTATGTCTGGTTAAATATTTCTCTCTTACTGATCTTTTTCTTATTATTATTTAAAACTGACTTTAATCAGATAGGGACTAGCTTGAAACCCTAATGGCTCATCTAGCCTCTATGAAATTTAAAATTTTTTTTCAATTTTTCTTGTTAACTAGAGATAATTGTCTTATTTCATTGTGATACCATTTTAGTGAGCAATAAAAGATTTGTTGCTGTTGTTGTCTCTATCTGTGACTCATTCAGCCCACATTTATAAATAAAACACTTAAATTTAAGGGAAATGCTATATAATAAACATACCAATCTTAAATCATGGGGCAGTATTTTTTGTACTTTATTTAATTAAATAATAAATGTACGCCTCTTATTACCTAAGTGTGGTGAACTTCTGGCCATGTAATTCAAATTTATCAATATTTCGTTCAAATCAACTTCAAACACTTTTGTAATTCTATCGCGTTATGAATAAAGTTATTTAGTATTTCTACAGATATTGACTAATGGTCCATATCGATCAAACATTTAGGGATCGCATGCATAATACAAATCTGTACAAATGTATATGCTTTCATGTACGAAGTTCAATCCAAACTAGGGGATCACGAAGGCAACTCCACGTTTTCCACCAACAAAAGAAACAAATCGCCTATTTTTTACAAAAGAGTACCTCATTAAGTTATCATTCGTCAGACCACGAAACGATGTCCCTAATCTAGACCCACCCCACGAAAAATATCAGTTTTAGATTTTATAGGTCAACTTAGCTGGTACTAAACTTGGAGGAATTTACGTAATCAACTCACCTACAAGCGCCTAAGACTCTCAACATCATCAACTTCTGGTTAGTCTTGAAATAAATCTTTGTAGGGAACATACACTGGCATATTGCATCAGCTTGTAGGAGACCTTAATTGTCAAGATATTACACCCAAATCTGCCGCCATGTTTAAAGTGAGAGGTAACAACGAAAGGCATGATGGGAACTGGTGCAAATTGTCACTAGTCTCACGCGGTTTAATGAACATTGCGAATGTTGCTAGGAAAGATCACGGGATTATTTATTGTGCAACTTTCCTTGATGGAAGACCTTTGAACACAGGTTTTTTGAACATGGCTACAAGAATAACAACCCCCCTTCTTAAAGATAGCGAAAGGATTCACTCGACAGAGGAAACTGGCGGGCCTCAGGAAACTAGCACAGACTCTCGATTTTTATCTCTAGCAGATCAGCTAGGCGTGCAACCTGACGCACTGAGCCGGTCAAGTTCTGCAGAGAGAGAAAAGGAAAATGACTATGAAAGAGATAGAAGACGTCACAAAGATCCTGTCGTCAATATAAGCTTTGAACAACTCGAAGAATTGCTTACAGCTCTGGATTCCACAAGCGACATGCTTCGGCAAGTTGGTTTAAACTCAGTTGAGTTAGAGAGTTTAACAAGGCAGCGAAGGTGAGGTTTTTACAGTCATTTTCTCCAATCTCTTTTTGTGTTGATGTTTATCGCTGATGTGTATTGCCAGATACAAACATAAGCTCCTTGATAACCAGCCTGGCAGGACACAAACGAAAGGAACTAATTGTTTTCACTCATTCCGGATGTTTTTGTCCGTGAGGTGTTCTCCTTGAGCATTGTGGGGTATCATTGATAACGATGACGAACACGAAAGCGGCCAATCCCCTGCCAACTATAATTTTGCCTATGGCTCAGAAAGAGCTGTAATGGGTGGAGGTTGCTGGGAGCTTGGGAGGTACAGACATAGTTTATGTTTATTTTTCCCAGGATGGTTGCAATTGGTTTGGCTTCATTTTCACCCCAGAGGAAATTTGTGAGCATAATGGTTAGTGCGCTAGATTGAGGTTGAGAGGGCTATGTTCAAAACACTTTACTTTCACAGTGCCCCTCTCCAACCTGGGCTGGGTTGTTTAAAGCTGGGTTATGATATCCCAGGGTTGGTATGAAATCTGATTTCAGATATGAAAGCTTTAAAAGAAAATTATCGCTGATGTGGATTGCCAGATACAGACATAAGCTCCTTGATAACCAGCCTGGCAGGACACAAACAAAAGGAACTAATTGTTTTCACTCATTCTGGATGTTGTCAGGGATATGTGATGAATTGGTGGAAAGGGGGAGGGGGGGGGGGAGATAACCTTGCAAGTATCCAAATCCAAGGGGAAGTAGTGATATTCCTAGTTGCTTTGTGACAAGGAAACCAAGATAAGCTCTGGCTGGGCAGGCCATTAGGCTTGAGTACAGACTTAACCTTTCTTACCTCTCATTGCCAATAATCTAGAGATATCAACCTTTTGGAATAAAAGACGAGAGGTTTTGGTTTCTGCTAAGGCATTACCACAGGTGCTCATGGTGTAAACTCAAGGAGGGTTTGGGGCATACTCCACCTGGAATATTTTGAAAATATTTATTGCCATTTCTTCTCTTTTGAAATCATAGTCAATGAAAAACTGTGTAGGATTACAGTACCTATAATATTATAAACCACACATTAAAAGTTGAGGCCCATAGTTCCCTTTTGCATTTTCAACAATGGTACCTTCTTTCAAGGGAAATGTAGTAGAAATCTGCAAAGAACTCGTTCAATGAGTAATAAATAGACAGGAATACATATTTTTTTTTTCACTGTATTCCTGAGAATGATGGTCACAATGGCTTTGAAAACTAGACAACCTTCTGAATAAATGTAAACCTAGCATTAGACTGTCACTATCCAGTTCATTACTGCATCCTAAAATTCTTGGTCTTATGCTAACTTGCCAAAGAAGCATGACAGGTTTCAAGCCAAAAGAAGGGCTGGAATCTATGCCCCTTTCTCAGGTCCATTGAAAGTTTCAGCAGATACTGGACTCAAATGTTTCCATTTTGAAATGGAGACACGAACCCCTTAACCCCCAAGATCTGATTGATAATTCTCCCTTCAGAAGTTGCTACACTTTTCTTTGTAAATTAGTTGGGAGAATTTGGTGTTAGACCAGGAACAACTTCTACCTGATAAGTTTGAGTATTCTCATTACCTGTTTGGTTGATAATGTATGATTGGATAACAAAGGGAGAAGGACTGTACAATGTTGATCACTTCTGGGAGTTAAACTGTCAATAAAACATCAGGAAACTAATCAGAATGGACTGGTTTTTTTGAGTTTGAAAAGGCGCTGGCTTCTATTTGACATGCTTATGAGTGCATTTTATCCTAAACAGGGCTTTAAATTTTTACAGTCAGCCTTAGTTTGAAAAATTTCATTGACCATTGATTTTATTTGCAGAAGTCACAGGATTCCAACATGTGTTACTAGACATCTTTTGCTTGGGACAATATTCTGGCAGGTATAAATTTATTAACTCTTTTACTTTTTTTTTTTCACTTACTATTGCTTTGTATTTCAATATTATTGGTCCTAACTTGATCAGGCATTCTAATTCATGTTTGACAAGTCTCAATAGTTTTCGTTGTGCTCTAGATTCTGAACATAGTGGCTGTTGTGATTACTGAAGCTTTTGCAACTCAGTCTGAAGGTGATGAAAAAAAAGAGGGCAAAACTGTATATATTGCGGTAATTTCCAAATCATTTTGTATTTATTGTAACTTTTGCTGTGATGTGTACAATTTAACTCTTCATCTTTTGTTATCTGATTGTTAATTCTCCCCTTTAGTTGTGACACAATTAGTCACAAGAAATTTGTTGTGAAGGCAAAAAATTTTACCTGATAAGTCTGGGTATTCTCATTACCTGTTTGCTAGGAATTGTATAAATATTATAGGGAGAAGTTACATCTTAATCAGCTTTGGGAGTTAAAGTGTTCAATGTGAATGATAACAAGACTAGATGTGATAAGGCTGTATGGAAAATGTGTTGTCTTTGAATTCTCTTGATTTATTTGTTTGGCAAAAACTTGAAGTCAGTTTCTAAAGGTGTTTTAATGGAGATCCTAGTTAAACTTTAAAATTTCTCCAATTTTGCTTTCCTTTCTTACAGAGTGTAAGTGTAATTGTGGTTTTTCAAGCTGCAAATTTGCTCTTGGTTATCTTAACAACAAGTGAGTAAACAGCAGCTCTTTATACTTGTATACTTCTAAATAACTCTTTAATCCCCTTAGAGTGACCAGCCTCTATTTTCTTCTCACAATGTAACTTTGAATCACACATTTAGGTAATGAGAACCATGAAAATAATTACTGATTAAAGAAGCTCTTGATTATTAACCCTTTACAGCCTAACATCAGTATGCATATTCTCCATTACAAATTTGTTTATTAATCAAGAGCTTGTTTAGTTGGTGATCATTTGTTCTCTTCTCATGACCTCAATGTGTGAATCAGGGATGATATTGTAAAGAGAATTTAGATGCATGTCACATTTAGGAGACAAAGGGATACAAAAATTCTCCTGGTCAGCCCTTAGGAAATGTATAGAGAACAGTATGGAGAATATGCATAATGATGTCAGGGTGTAGAGGGTTAAGCCATTTCACTATTGTACATTACCATTATCATCATCATCATCAGTCTTTTGAGCTCCTTTGGAGGCCTCTTCGGTATTCTACCATCTGGACCACATGAAGTCACACACTGTCTTGTACAATCCTAAACTATTTTATTTTCTCTGTCGCAGTAAAACTCACCAAGCAAATAATGCATCAAACAGTAACAAAATCATTCCTTGCGCAGTCATATTTATCAACAACACTCCTCTACGCTGGGCTTTACACACTGGTCTATAAAATTGAGGTGAGTGGTACAACAGAGTTAGTTAACCCCTTGACCCCTAGGAGTGACCAGCATCTAATTTCTCCTTACAATATCACCCCTGAATCACACATAAATGTCACAGGAACAAAGGAAATGATCACCTTGTAAAGAAACTCTGGATTGTTAAACAAATTCTCCTTGCATCACCCTAGGAAAATGTAAAGAGAACAGTTTGGAGAATATGCACACCTGATGCTAGAACATAAAGGACTTGACTTGAGAACTGAAAAAAATTGAGAAAAATATTAGTGCTGGTTAAAACTAATGCTAGGGTTCTTTGGTCATGTCAGGAGTGCTGTTGTATTATGCATTAGCTTCACTTTTGTATGATGTATTCCTGAAAACAGCCATTCCATACCCTCTTTCAGTGATTTTTTCAAAATGTTTTGCTATTTAATTAATTTCTTTTGTTTGTTTGTTGTCAGTCCAGTTCATTTCAGCACCTAACAGGTGCTAAAGATCCATTGAGTACACCATTAATATTTTTCAAGATGGCTGTTTTCTCCATTTCAACTGGAACTCTGTGTGGTGAGCTTTTCATCTGGCCCTAGTTGTTCAAAGAAGATTGGATAACACTATCCACTGGATGAATCTTTATGCAGTGGACAACGCTATATATATTTTACAATCATGCTTGTGTCCTTTCATAGAGGGTCTTAAGAAAAATATTAATTAGGGGATTATTAGTTTATCCAATACCAAATTCTCCAAACTAACACCACAAAAACTATATGGCAGACAGTAAGGAGAATTACTAGCAACATCTTGGGATTTAAGGGTTAAAGCCATCACCCTGCATTGAGGCCCTCTTTATTCTCCAAGGTGGAGAGATGCCCTGTGAGAGTTAAGTGTTTTGCCGCAATGAGCAAGCCACCTCTCAAACCCAGACCTCTTGAGCCAGCATCCAGGGCACTAAATGAGAAAAACTCTCACTTAACTGGAACCATACAGAGTACACACTTTATTAAGCTTTTTTGGAATCTGTGGGCTTCATTGCAACACTTTTTGAAAGTTGGGTTTTCATCTTCCTGAAACAGTCTTACTCAGTGGCCAGGAAATTGAGCCTGGGAAGGAATTAGGAAAAGATTTTTCTCCATTTCCACTAGTTAACTTTCCATCACTGGTATCATTGCTACTTAAGCTATAAGAGGAACTGGGCTGCTTTCTTATTTTTTTTAGCATACATATCAGTGGCCAGTATGCTAATCAGCCATTGGTTAGTAATAGTATTTAAAAGGATATCTTAATGGAAGAGAGCATCCACCTCCCTTTACCTTCAAGGGGGTGAGGGAGAGAGAGGGCCATTCCCTTGTCCATATGGTTAATCACTGAAGACCATCCACTCTTGTCTAGCCTTAGGAGGGAGGGGGCCAGTATATACAGGCCACCTCCCTTTTCTATGTGGTAGTTGATGGAAGACATAATTTTTCAGTTCTGAGCACAAAAGTTTGGGAAATTATCCCATTTCCTCCAGCCTCAGGGGGTGGGGTGGGGAACACTTTACAAAGGCTATGTGTACCTCCCTTTTCCATGTGGTAGGTCGCTTAAATGCATTTCTTAAATGACTTTTTTTCGATGACTTGTTTTGCAGGTACTTCATCCATCATCCCTGACATGTGGCTAGCACAGCTTATTGCTTCAACCCAGGTATCTTTAGTTAGTAACAAAGCCATAGAAATTTTACATTACAGTGACTTCACTGTATATTCATCAGCTATTAATTTTGTGCACTTATTTTGATTTCTCTCACAGATGTTGATGAGTTATGTTTATTTTGCATCTGTGCTCTACATGGCTGTACATCCACCTAAAAATGATTTAAAATGGAGGGTAATCACCAGAAGCAATCACCATAGAAGCCTTCATCATGTGAGAACTGTATGAAATGTATGCTGATATGTGCAAGGGATGCTGATGGATGCTGATGTATGCTGATGTATTCTCTGCAGAGACAGAGAGTCCTGTGTGGAAGCTCAGGAATATGTACTTCTCAGAGCTATGAACAGGGAAAATAAACATTAAAAATTTTAGTCTCATTTAGACTAAATTAATCTCCTTTAGGACCAGTCCCTGCTTTTTGACAAAGCCTGTTTCATGGATGAAAAAAACTGCAAAAATTTTCAAGGAGATATAGCAGCTAGAGCGGAGGATTAGTAATCAAATCTTGGGAGTTGAAGGGTAATTATAACCCTGACAGAAGAATTGTTTGAATTTACAAAAGGATCTGTATATAAAGACGTAAAATAAATAAGGAACAGACTCAGTCATACTTGTAATAGATTTTAAGGAGAATCTTAGAAGGAAGGATTTTTCAATAAGGAGGCAAATATTTTTCAAGGAGAAAGGCATCCAAACGTGTATGAGAATAATGTAGGTTTGATACCTTAAGAGTACTTTTGCTTGTTGTTTTTTTTAATAAATGAAAGCATTATTTTTCAATAGACCTCAAATTTAGTCATGGATATTGAAGGAAATATATTTTAATACTAAGAATATCTCAAATTCTATCTAAATCTTTTTCATAACTTAATTATACTGCACTGTTTTTTTTTGTTTGCGTTTTTTTTCAAACTGTGGAGGAGAAAATTATTGATGTAGTTTCTGTTAATTTTTAACATGTTAAAGTATTTGTTCATTTTATGTTAGAACTTTCTGCATACTTGTGAATGAATCAATTATTAGATCAAAGTATTCAAATAAATAAAAAATTGTTTATGAATTATCAACTTCCAATTTTGCTTCTTTCATTTGGGGACTGTTATTTGTGGCACCTTGGAGAGAAGTGCTCCCTCAAGGGCGTGGTTAGGGGTTCTTGCGAAATTGTACCCCTTCCGAGTCTCTTCGTGTGCCTTTGTTCCTGTGATAGTAATAGGAACGTTAGGCAAACCAGGAGAGTGAGGCGACAAGAAAATGGGAAAACAAGATTTAATGAGCAAAATAACAGACCTGCATGTACGTTTTAAAATCTCTTAACATTCTCTAACACGATGTAAATCACTCGAAAAAATTCTCAACACAAATATTTTCACTTCTTAATCGATGTTTTTCAAGGAATCGCCGTCATGACGGCGCGTAATTTGTACCCACAAGAGGGATCTGGATAAAAGGTTGAACCGTGCAAGGTCCTTACAAACTCAAACTGGATGTCTGTATTATAGGAGTACTGTTTCCAAGAGCTTTTTCAGCCCTGTCCTGAGTTTGGGACGAATCTGGAATATTTCAACACTTAAGGAGTTCATGAAATTGATAAAATGCGAACCTGTCTGACAAACGGAACGTACAGAGTAGCCTTGTGTCTGTACTCGGGGAGAGCGAAGCCTTTTTCCTCTTTTTCTTGGGGGGTTTGGTTTTAGGGTTGGGGGGGCTTGATATTGAGCACCGGGTGTGCGAATTTGCAGGGGAACCCGGGGCTGTTCTTCCTCGGAAAATTTTCAAACCTGGGGGCTCTCCATGAAATATTTTCTGTCGAATCGAAAAGTTTCCAACAGGTTTTGTTTAAGGTTGCAACTTTTTAGAATTTCATCATTTTCTTTTTTTTTCTCTCTTATTCTTTCAACATACCGCATCCTCGCAAAAAGTGAATGGGGGTGGGGGGGGCCTGAAACCCCCAGTTCCGCAGTCCCTGTTACTTCTTCATAGCATAATCTTCGATCGAGCGCAAAAACTTTATGCCTTCATATGACGTTAAAATTGACAGTGTTTCAGTGGATGTTCCGGGGCAACTAAAAGTCTTATATCCATTAGTCAAAACCAAATATCTCTTCCTTTTAAACTCCACAATAAAATTGAGGAAGTTTTCATTTCTCTTCATGCAAGGTAAATAAACGCGTGTGATTATTGATTCTGATAGAAGTCAACCCAAAATAGATGCTATTGTTGTTCTGTGAATACTTTTCTGTTCATTTTCGCAGAGGAAGTTTAACCCTATTGGTTTTCAACCATAAGCAATTTGGCATCATGCCGTGCTGTGCGCTGAAACAGGGCCAAGCGAATTGTGAACAACAAAGGGCGAACGGAAGTCAGCGGAAGGGTTTCTCTAAAGAATATTCAAAATGAATTATTTTCAAGAAAATTTCGAAATAATTTGAAGCTGATCTCGTTGTTAAGTCAATGAGGTTATCTTGCTTCGTTCGGTTGACTAAATTTTCTTAATTTCCGAATGACATCAGTCTTGATTATTCAACTGATTGTAAAAAGTGCATGAAATTTAATTTATCCATAAGGCACCCCTAAAATGCGCAAAAACCCTTCTGACATTTTAACATCAGCTTTGTCAAACGTGAGCAGATAGAAATTAATGAACGTAGTTCAAGATCCGTTAGTCATTCCAGCACGAAGCTCCCGTAATCAAACCTAATTATCGACCCTCTTTTGTCTATCAAATTAAGTCTCTACCATATTAGCGCGCACATGTTTGATTTTGTTACTTGTTTGATAGAATTGTGTCCTATACAGCTGTTGCACTACAAATGAGACGATAGGCATCACTTGACAACCCTAAGGAACTAAAAAGCTCAAATGAACTGAACTACGAGGAAAACAAAACTGATGAAAATTTGAATGCGTTATTTTATATAACACTCTGCCACTCAGACGCTTCGGCGGTGATTCGAGAAGAAAAAAAATCAATTAAACAAAGCGTTGAAGTAAGTGCGCCTCGGGGCTGTAATAATTGATCATTAACTCCAGCTGTACTCATCGTCTTTACGTCCGTCTCGTTCTGAGAATATGTTATAATCTTTATGGTTACACATGTAAGTTGAGGCTTTCGTTTTAGGTCTTCAGGAGGCGAATTTAAGACGCGTCGTGCTGCATTTAGATATAAAATGTGAAGCGGGGAGACGGGGGGGGAGAGGGAAGCCTCATTATGATGACTGACTCAACTGAACTCTTTAACTTCAGGAACTGATTTTTCCTTTTGAAAGTCCGCGTGAATAAATAGATTGGGGTTTAGAGTAGCTGGTGATTTGCGAAAATGAAAATGAGTGCATTTTGCACCGGTTTCAAGGAGAGGTTTTATAGGGTTAGTTGAAGTTTTGGTGAAGGTCCCGCGCCCCCCTCCCCTCCCCCCTACCCAACCTCCTCCCATCGAAACCGGCGTGTTTTAAGTTTGTGCATAACAATAAGTTTTTTTGAGTATTCAACTCGATTCAAACAACATCCATTTCATATTTACTATTAAGATTATCATGGAAGCAAGTACTCATGATCATAGATAAATCTAAAATCAAATTTAGCAGCCCTCTTTTTGTTCAGGCTTATAGATAAAGAATTTGAATGCAACCCTTAATAACATATATCCATTGTTGACGATTCAATTAGTTCCTGTCCGAAAGATAAACACAAATTAATGTTAACATAGACGAGACTTAATCCAGCGTTTGTCATTTATATTGCATTAGCTTCCCTAGAGCCTGATTTTCAAACGGATTTTAACCAGTTTTGAGTTACGGTGTTATCAACTTCAATAGCTTGTTGAATCGAAGAAAGTTACGGCTTTCTTATTGCTTGTGCCTCGTTGCGACCTAGATGCTGAAATTAACGAAAAGCTTGTTCTTATCTGTCTTTCAATTTACGTCATTCGTTTTGCTTCTCCGTTGAGAAAGTTAAAACATTTGTTGAAGTCTCTTTTGCCTTTTAATTTGATGGCGCAAGATTGCCGTGTCTTTTCAACCCTATTGTTGCATCTAAAACAAACACGTTCTCTTGGTCGGCAAATGCTATTGTTAACTTTCGTATTGTTCTGAAAAACAAGCCTCGGAAACGCATTTCTCTCGCGAAGTGCTTACTCTTTCCTACGAACAAGCAACTAAGGATCTTCACACTTGTTTATTTATATTGTTGTTTTAAAAAGCTATCAAACATCCGTTTCTTATTGAGACCACTTCTGTTCGAGTCTTACAACGATTTTATTTCAAATGGCAAGCAGAGACGACAAAAGAGATAGACACAGACCAGATTTAAAAACACCTTTTCGCCGCCAGCAATGATTTTGTGATTTTCTTGTTCGCTTTTTGAATGGCAGGTGTCAGGAGAAAATTAGAATGAAACACAAAAAAGGCTTTATAATATTTTTTCTTCGTGGACATAATAGCCATCGGAAGCGAAAAAATACAATGGTGTCATTGATTTACGATGACCCGGAAGAGAAAGATAGTTTGATGAAAATTGGACGCTGCAGTTGTGCATCGGCATTCGAGCTCATCTCTCAGACAATCATGGGTGACTCGTACAACCTGGTCGAAAAAATCGATGCAGAGATGAAAACATTTCCCTGGAATTATCCAGATCAGTACGTCCTGTCAGAGTTTATTCCGAGTCCATGTAACTTTACGGGGTACGTGCAATTTCCAAACTTACATTGAGAAATTTAATACGTATCTTATCCGCCCAACTTGCTGAGGTTTAGATTACTTTTTCTAAGTTATTTGCATTAATTTTAAGTTCTTGCTATTTCTAAGGGAATTCGAAGGTCCTTTGAAAGTTGAAGGTTCAGGTAAGTTATGTTGCAATTTTTTCTCCTATAATTAATTTAGAAGCCTTGCTAACGTAATGCATTCGCAGTTAAATTTTTTCAGTTACATCTGGTGTTTAATCTTGACTGTAGACCCGCGTTTGGATAAGCCTCAAAATCGCTTATGGTCTGAATGATTCGAATTTATTTACTTAAGATAGATTCATGGCCGAAAGATTGAAAATTTGTTTTGATTCTTAAAAAAAAGATTTGTAAAAAGCTTACATAGTCAGTATCCAGACTGAGAAATTTGTTGAGTCGGACAGTTCTTACCAGAGATGGTAAATATTTGTACTTTGTTTCTTTTCTCTCGTGCAATAAGCCTTTTTATTCATATACTACAAAACAAAAACAGTAACAAAGATATTTCGCTGAACAGGGAAGTAACTACGGCGTTAGCAATAATCAAGCGCGTTCAATCACTTTGGGCGAATTTTGATTATTTTGCGATTGAGAAATTGTCGGATTACACGAACTTGATTTTAGTCGGTATATTTCTATATGAGCGGCGAGACAGAATGAGGTTTGGAAAATTTCCCAGCAATTAAAATCGCCCCTTGTTTAAGAACGAGTGTTGAAATTTAACAGGTGTGCGTTAGTCTCAACAAACCGAAGTTTGATGAAATTATCAATTCTCTCTACGATCTGTCACTCATCATTCACGTTGTCTTAAAAGCTCGGTTTTTTATTTGAGCGCTTTCTTAAGCTGACGAGTGTTGTAATTCTCCTCACGTTTTCATTGAAATTGCTAAAGAGAAAATAAGTTTCAATCCCAATTACAACAAAGAACTGAATGGTCTGATGATCATTAATCCATCTAATAACCCTCGAATCAATTAAATGACGAGCCTCGAATCAATTAAATGACGAGAATTATTTCAATGAGTGAGCTCGATCGTAGAGCCTACGCACAAAGGTGCCATTCGAAGTGGCACCTTTCGTGCGCTTTGGTCCGTCAATAATTTTTGCGTAAATCAACTTAATTTCCAAAAATATTTTATGGGGAAATAGCCCTTAGGGCGAAAGCACTTCTAGTGAGCAGCTTTTTTTTGTTGTTGAAAGAAACAGTTTTCTCGTTTAGGGAGGAAAGCACAAGTTTCTTGGATGCAACGTTACTGATCCATCATTTCATACTTCGAATTCTTGTCAGCAGTAGATAAATTACGAATTCTTTGGGTGTTTGCGGACAATACAGCTCACCATAGCTGCGTTTGTTTTCAAAAGAAAGGTCGCTTCTCTTTGTATTATTAAAATGATGCAAACAACACGCGAAAAGTTACTCGAGTGGTAAAGCGCAATGTCCTCTGAAATTCGCGACAGCTAAATACTGTGTTTTGATTGAACTGTCACTTAGTTATAGGTATTTACAAGGAATCTATTGAATTTTTAGATCAACTTGACACAGAACACCAACATGGAACTATGTTGTACCCACACGATCCGGTAAGCCCTGATTCTCATTAAGTGCGTGTTAGAAATTTTCTTTTCTCTCGTTCCAGTACAGCTTGTGATTAACTTTCAGAGTGAAAAGAGCCAAACATTCGGGATGACGGATGTTTTATTGGTTATTTCACAAGAAATTTAGCTTAAAGAAAGCTGTTTATTTTCCAAGCTACCAACTATGACATATTTCTTCCATTCCGCTCGACATAGGCGAGCGAATATATTTATTAAAAAGGCACATAAATGGTAACTAGACAGAAACAGAGAGAAGGTTTTTCGACTAAGGATAAGTTTGGATCCTTTTGCGAGGAAGTACAACAGTACTTGAAGAACCCATTTGAGTTATAAAATACCTGCAGAGAACTGACTTGTATTTTCCTTGGACTTCGAAATTGTTAAATGTTGTTCAACTGAACCAGTCATAGCAAAAAAATAGCTTCTTAATTCGAGTTTTGAAAGTGCTAGGTCGCAATTTTCTTAGTAGTTAAAAGTTAACTCCAAAGTTGGGAAGACCTAAAAATATTAGCTTTCTAAAAAAAGAAAAACTTTTAGATGAAGACAGAAAAAGAACCAGAATAGTTGATGATTATAACAGGATTTTTTTCTTTCGATATAAATACATTTTTAAGCATGCTAATGATAAGAATAGAGAAAAATATCAACTAGGATTGTTTGTTGATCCAATATCAAATTCTCCAAACTAAAATAATAAGAATCGTATGGGATACAGAAAGGAAAATTGAGAAAAAAAACCGGGGGAAAAGTGCAGATAGTAGAAACAAACAATGCAAACATTACTGATGGGTTCCTTGTTTGGTTATTTCAGCCTGAAACCTTGTTGCTCCCTACGAAAGAAACTGAAGAGTTCTCAGAATTTGTCGAGCCCCTGACGCCGACGCCTCTCAGCCCCAGGTTTCCTCCTCATACCCTCATGAATTTATCTCCCCCACACGTGACGTCACCGAGCACGTGAGTAATGACATCTGTTTACTTTCTAGGATATGAGAAAGTTACTCTAGAAATTTAACCAGGTCTTACCGAAGTTTCCTTTTTGTATTCTTGCATCGCACCTCTTCCATCTTCCACACGTATCTCATTCATCTTAGTTTTTCATACTTCAGAAGTCAAGTCTGATTGAAATTCTTCCGATAAACAATAAATTTCTTCTTTTTGTTCAGGAATGAGTTTCTTGGTGACTTCAACTTCAGGATGATTCTTGAAACCCAGGTAACACTGTGCCCCTGATTTGTGACAGTTTTTATCTCCAGCTAGTTCCAGTTGCAACTCAAAAGTAACAGAAAGTTTTTAACTTTTCGTCGCCATTTTTAGAGGCGCTACTAATCACGTCATTTTGAATGTTCTCTTTACAGCCTAAGAAAGTTGCCAACCCGGACTGGATTGTGAGTATAAGGAATTAGTTGGTTTAAATTTTTCCAGGGAATGATTTTCTTTGTCAGCTAATTGACTCTTATTAAAAAAATTATAGAGAAGAGAGAGGAAAGTAACTAAAGTACCAGGTTTGCGAGTTAATTACGAATTCGTCAGCTAATCGACTTTTATTAAAAAATATATAGAGATGAGAGAGTAAAGTAACTTTTATTGTGTCAAGTGTTGAATAACCAGGTTTTCAAGTTAATTACGAATAAAGAATAGTTTGAAATTCCTAGACATCGTGAACACAATTTTAATCAGTGAAATATTTATTTCAAAACGACTTTTGTATGACAATCAGGTCTTTGTTTCTCCGGTTCTCAAAATATCCCTAAAGAAATTTTAAGTTGTTTCATCTTACATGAAGTATTTCGACAGTTCTCAGTGAGTCAGAAGAAGCTGTATATTAAGTCAAAGACTCCTTGTCCAGTCAGGTTTTTAACCACAGGTGAGTGATACCGTTATACGTAGTCAATTTATTTATTTATTTATTTATTTCAATAACTGCATATATCATGTTTGGTCCATTTTTTTGGTACCCAGGCCCCCCGCCATCTGGAGCATTTATTCGCGCCATGCCTGTGTTCAGACAACCCGAGCATGCGAAAGATGTGGTGCGCTGCTGTCGAAATCATACCGCAGAACACTCTGGTAAGAAAAAAATTTAATTCTCATGTTTTTGGGGTTTGGCGGTAGTAATTTCTGAAGAGTTTTTCAGTGGATACGATGCGAAGGCCATGCAAACGTAAACATCGCCAAGAGTCAGAGATGAATTCAAGCAGATTACCTCCAGCTTTCGGCGCGGGAAAAAACCGTGAGAAAGAAAAAATTAATGTTGGACCCAGTTGAATGATATTTTCCAGATTCTTCTTGGGCAAAACTTATAACAGAGGAAGTTAATTAAGAGAATTCTTCAACTTGCTGCATTTGTTCTTAGGCCCAGCGACGGGACATTTCCTCCGCTGTGACAACCAGGAGGCTGAATACGAGGAATGTCCTCAGACCACCAGGCACTCTGTCAGGATACCACTGCGAGGACCAGCTTCAGGTGAGCCTTACAACTGATTTCGCAAACTGAATAACAACCTAAAGTGTATACCTGTCAGCTGTCTTATACGCGGACAGACGCGGGTGAAAAATCCACAATTCCCTTTGAGTTCTGCCTCTTACTGGTCGTAAAGGGTGGAAATTGAAAATTGGAAATCGAAAAAGTGTTTTATTTCGGAATAGCTGTATTTGGTAACTTTTTAGTTTCAAATACATTCTAACTGAATATCATTGTTTTCAGCTGACGACGCAGATGATCTCGGAGTACATGAACTGTTCTACTTTATCTGCAATAACTCCTGCGGGGGTCTGAATAGGAGACCTATTCAAGTCATCTTTACCCTGGAAGATCTGTAAGTTATGAGTCACCTGTGTTGAAAGCATGTGTGACAAAGTAACGTTACGCAGCAGTCATTATTAATTACCCTAGGGAGAGGGGTCGGAGGATTTTGGTTGTGCCATGATAAATTTTACCTGACCCCACACCCCTAAAGCTCTGTAAAATTTCTATGACCCCCCCCCCCCCTCATTGATAGTCAATTGGCCATCAAGTTTCTACATTCACCCCCCAAATCTCCTTTGGCGACGACTGATTTCCCCTCTGTTCCCCCTAAAAACCATGTGATCCTCTCAAAATTCCTCTGAAAGCCCCCCCCCCTCCTCTCAGGCCATGTATAATGACTGGTTTCCAAAGACCAAAGATGGTGAAGATTGACACGGATTACAAAGTGACCCGATCCGCAATTTTAGAATACATTTGTCAAGAAGTGCAGGCAGTGATTCAGCTTAATTACCTGAATAAGAGTCGAAAATTATATTATTTTCCTATTGAGAACCGGCAGCGTAGTCCTGGGGAGATGTTACGTCAACGTCAGAGTCTGTGCATGCCCAGGACGGGACTCAAAGCAAGAAATAGAGGCGATTAACCGTCCTGGCAAAAGGAAAAAGCCTAAAGCAAGTGAGTTGGTGAACATTAGCAATTTGAATTTTAGAGTCAATTTCATGGCTTCGGTTAAAGTCGATTTAAGGTCTACATGCACTTTTGGTGCAAGGAGTTAGATTTCTCGAAAGAGGCGACTGCCATCGTTAGCTCCTATAACTCCAAAGAACCTGATTTTGTATTGATGAAGTGATTTTTGATTTGGCATCGTAACGTTAAAGCCAATGTACTTACTACTGCCAATAAAAGCACTGGTAGATATTACAACGAGCCAACGATAAGTCAAAGTAGACCGACGTAAGCAGCGTAAAGCGCGGGAAAACGCGAGCAGCCAAGTCGCAATTGGTCAGTTAAGATTGGTTGGCGTGAGTCAAGATTGGTCGGCCTGAGGTATTTTTATCACTCAAAGACAAGAGCAAAAACCGAAGCAACTCTGGATTAAGTGGGGTAAGTTTTTAAATAAACTGTGGTGCTTCGTCGGTGGGAGAGTATAACAGGGTAATTTGGTTTTATCAACTGAGTTGATAACGTAAATTGGCCACCGTAAAGACTGACTGACGTTTCGAGCGTAGCCCTTTGTCAGCTTTTAAACTCTTTGCAGTGGCCAATTTACGCTATCAACTCAGTTGATAATACCAAATTACCCAATTCTGGATTAACCTAGGTTTTTCTTTCTTTCTGTAGATGGAAACGATTTACAGTGTTTTGGCTCGAAGATGTCCAAGGAAGACAGCACAGTTTACAACCTTAAGGTAAATTTAACGTAAAAAGAGAAAAAAAGTCTTCGTGCATGCGCACTCTGTTTCTTTCTCTATACATATGTTGAAGCATGCAAAGCTACCTACATATAATTTTAAGCTTACTAGCCTGGCTGTGCATGGCATTGCTGACAGTTTTCAATGTTTTTTTTCAGATCTGCGGATTCAATAATTATCTGATGATGAAGAGGATCGCTATTGCACTAGAATTATTTGCAAACATGGAAAACAAATTGTGAGAACAAATTTATGATTCTTTTAATTCGCTTTTGCTCTGAAACGTCTTCCTGGGTTTTTGTCAAATCAAAACACAATTTACAGTTATCTAAAACTCGATTGTCTTACAGCCATACGCAGAACTGCAGAACTGTTTGTCTCTCGATCTCGGACTTTCAAGACTGCCACAAGAGTGTAATTTAATCTTTTCATTGACGACCTGTAATTATTTATCGACGGAGTGGGGGTAGGGGAAGAGAATTTTAGTTATGTCCCAATTAAATTAACCTGAACTCACCCAAAGGCTCTGTAGCATTCTAACGAGCCCCCACCCCCCTCATCGATAGTAATTTTTCTATGTTCCCCCCTGTATACTTTGTCAGCAGCGCTTGAGCCCTCCTCCGCCCCACCCGAAGACAAAGTGAACCCTCTCCCCAAAAAACGCCCTTCGACCCCCGGGTAATAAAATAATGACTGAGTCAATCTTCTGTCATTGAATGTGCTAATGAGCAACTGTTGCTTTTTGCAGCACCGCGATGGAACCACAAGATTTAGAGATGCCAGATCTTACCGAATACACCCCTGAGGTAATTTCACTGACAGAGACATTATTGTGGCGAGAGTTTCTGAATCGTAATACACACGACCCGTGAGGAACACGACACGACACGACACGACACGACCCGACCCAAACCTCCCTCATTTTCTCTCCGCCACTAAGATCGGGCCAAACCCAAACCTCGACCCAACTCTCCCTCGCTTTCTCTCTGCCGCTAACATCGGGCCAAACCCAAACCTCCCTCATTTTCTCTCCGCCACTAATACGGGCCAAACCTAAACCTTCCTCAAACCTCGACCCAAACCACAAACCTCCCTCATTTTCTCTCTGGCGCTAACATCGGGCCACAAACCTCCCTCATTTTCTCTCTGGCGCTAACATCGGGCCACAAACTTCCCTCAAACCTCGACCCAAACCTCCCTCATTTTCTATCTAGCACTAATATCGGGCCGTTTTAGTATTTCGCTCCGTTTTACAAAGTGAGTGCCTGGAACAGCTATCTCAAGCCAAGAGATTTGATTATTGGCGATAACATCTATTGACTGTATCTGATAACTGAAAACGTCTACAAAGCTCAGATACTACCAGAAGTTTAAAAAAGGGAAGCAGAAATTTAAACGGAAATTTACTTTAACTACGTTTTTCACATTTTCAGGATCAGGACAATTCAGAACCGGACTCCACTATAGTAAAGTAAGTATGCGGAGAAGGTACTTCTTAATACCAACATGACCGCTTAGAGTCCAAAAATTATTGTCTAGGGTTAAGTTTAAGATGCGTGGAAAGTCCAAGTAAGAGATTGACTCACATGACCCGGCCGGGACTAGAGCCAGGGCCTCTCGATCCGAGGTTTAACACTCAAACCGTTAAGCCACCGCATAACAAATCTTTTTGGTCACGTGTTCTCACCACAGGACGTCGATGAACGAGTCGTCTCCTCCACCAATCATGATGAGCCAGGAATCTTATCTTCATCCAACGCACACGGAGAGCTGGTACCCAGTCACACCACAAGATCAAGACAGCCAAATGCAATCCCAGCAGTACCCGCAGCAGTGCTACACGTATCGCCGTAAAACGATTTCCGTTGTCACCTTTACTGAAGAAAAAACTGATAAAATCATGAAAAAGGGGACAAAAGCAGACCCCGATCGAAAGAGAAAACTGGCATAAACTTTAGATATAGAACGAGGGCGACCTAGGAAAAGTGAGGTATAATTTTTTTACAAAGAGCGTTTTAAGGAAGACCAATGCATAAGCATAATTTTTGCTCTGTGTTAGTTTTTATCACTCCTAAAAGTTAATGCAAGTTTTATTATTGAAATAGTGCGCTTAAAAAAACTGCTACGGCAATATTTAACCGACCAAAAGGCACCCGACAATGACAAAAACTTTTTAACCCTTCAATTGTTCATTCTCCCCTCTAATTGCTTTGCACTTCCTTGCAAAATAGAGAATTTGGAAATAGACCAAGACAAAAATCTCTACTGATAATTTTAAGCGTTCTCGTTACTTGTTTGCTGGATAGTGTCTGTTTATCGTAGAGAGAATTTTCATGTAAATCACTTCTGGGAGGTTACAGGTTTAAATCAGTTGAAATAAAAGGTACAAGTGTAAAGAAAGTTGTTATATTTACAGGTTAGTACAAGCTTCAAGCGATCATATTGTAAGCAAACGATTTCGTTCATGAAAAATGTTATGGGAAACTTAAAAATCGTAATAAAAAATAAAAAGAAGCAGTTATGTAAGACAGAGATTCAGGGGCAAATTTGAAAGACTCCAAGTTTGTATAGTATGGAGTTGGGCAACAATCGATTGAATATTTTTGTATGAACCATTTATTTACAAACTATCTAATAAAATGAGGTGTTTTTCGTTTAATCTTAATCTGTCTAACCTTACTTTCTTTCACTGTATCCGGCTTGTTTCCTGTGCGGGGAGTAACGTATCTTGAAATACCTACCGAGCGAAAATAAGTAAATAGTTTTCTTTTCTTGAGACTGAAATATGTTGTAAATCGTAGCAAATAATTTCATTAAGTTATCTGTTGTCTGTACAGTTTCAGCTTGTATTGTCATTTTCCCAAGGCTTAGTTATATTCGAAAGTATTTGATCTCGTAACCAAGTCCTACTTGTCTAGTCGGTTGTCGTAGAACTGGGAACGAGACTACATAGTAGCATAGCTAACGCATCATACAGATAAAGATAAAATGATGAAATACGACAGAGAGATGAGAATTATTCGCTGCACAACTCAAGCATCAAAACTGAAGCCTATTCCAGACAGTCAATAGGTGAGACCATGCGATCCTAGGAAATATTTTATATTTAATTTGATGTCGCTTTTCGGTCAACTCAGAATATCGTATTTCCGCGATCAAGCGCCCGGGTTGCTTATTTCAAATTTCAGCTAAAGGTGCTTGATCGAAGGGGTGCTTATTAAGTTTTCTTTTCAACGAACTGAAACTTTAATAGTCTACTTGGCTAAATCTTAAAAAGCAAAACAACTACAACATTTAGTCCACCCTAAGTCACTATGGAGGTAGGAATAGCTATTGCCATCGGCCCAAAATTGACCCATTTTCGAGTAGAAAAACACGTGCATTTTAAAACATTGTATAATTGCTGGCCGCCCTTTGCAAAGCAAGGCCAGAAACTACCAAAACTTACGTGGTCCGAGAGTTTAAACATTGACGGGGAATTATTTATGTTTATATTGAAAACTCAACGTTGCTAACGCTCGCATATTTTAAGCTGAAGTTGAGGTCTGGCGCCATTAGACACGGTGAAGACATCTACCCATTCCGGAAAATACAAAGAAAAATAAATTCAGTTTTAGCGAAGCTTTCCTTGGCGTTGTCGTCCTGTCTGCATTTAAGGTCTCTAATCTCAGACTCGGCGGTGCATTCCTCTTATAATCGAAGCTAAGTCTCTGTTTGCTGCCTTAAAGACCACTGTTATCTGACAAACCCAACCATTCTCCTTTCAGTACTGATTGTGGGTAGCTCTGGTCGTAATCGATACTCGACATGATTCTATCCCCATCTTTCACGGTCACGAATTGTCTACTGTTGAAGATGACAATAAACAATCCTTCCATCAATCTATATAGCCACGTTGTCTCCAATGCTGAGACACCGGCAACATTCCCTTCACTGCTTCTTCCAGTTCACTACTAAACAATGCTTTGCCTTTAAAACCTCAGGTCCGTCAAAATAAAGGGCTGTATTGACGTCGATGTACGGGGGCACAAGAGTATGTCCCCTGAGCACGTCCATGAAAGACACGAAAAAGGAGGGGGAGGGAAAGAAGAAAAGGGAAAGACCCCCCCCCCAAGAAAGAAATTTCCAGCCACAAATGATCGATCCTTAACCCTTTACTCCCTCATATCAGCATGCATATTCTCCATACTGTTCTCTCTACATTTCCTAGGGTTCTGACAAGGAGAATTTGTTCAACAATCAAGGGTTTCTTTAGTTGGTGATCATCTCCTTTATTCTCATGACCTTAATGTCTGATTTCCGGGTGATGTTGTAAGGGGAAATTAGATATTAGTCACTCTCGGGGTAAAGGGTTAAACCTCTCGCTTGAAAGAAGAAGCACAATCCATTGCGCCAAGTATGTAGAGCGTCTATGAAATTGATTACGTGCATCGAGGGAGCAGCAGACAAAGAGGATAAAGCGTGGTAAAGTTTTAAAATTCGAAGTCAGCTCAGTGGTCCCGACATCCCACCCTTCAGTACAACATTTTCCGAGTTGACTGGCTCACAGCCACTCTGATCTGCTGCCAAATGTGGTTTGAACAAGCAGCGTTACGATTTAGAGATATTCTAAAATATGAATGAACGATTGTAACCGGCATGAAAGCGTTCATCGACCCCAAAAGAAAATTAAAATTGCCATAGATAAATTATTTGTATGATCAATGGCTCGCGAAGTCTGTCAGTGTTAGATTAAATTATTGAAAAGCTGGAAAATTAGCGGAATCAATGGTACCAAATTGTGACAAAAATAATTCTCTCTTCATAACTTTGTTTAACCTGTCAACAAGACCGAAATTGACTTAAAAAAAGAGCAGGCCTCGTTTTCCCTGGTCTCCATGGTACCCAGAATTTCCATCAGCTGTGCACGGTTCTTCTTTGTTCCCCAATTTTGTTGTCATCTGAATTAACGTTAAAAATTGTTTGAATCGCGAATTATTCAAATGATCCTTCTTAACGAATTTAACTAGAAAAATTGAACAGTGTTACATCGACAAAGTGCTCGCCCTTTTCAAGAATGAAAATTTAAGCCAAATAATTGACCAAATCAACGCCTGAAGATTATTGACAAAAGATCATTTTTTAAAACGTAGGTTTTTCGAGAGGTAAATAAAACAGTCAGCATATATTTACTTTTTATAATTTTTATTTTGAGAAAACGATAATGTTAAATGACAACTATAAACCTAGTAATTATTTTGAGGGCGCTAAAAGGTTGGTCTTAATTTAAACAGGGAATTGTGGTATTCAATTCCGGGAAACCCATAAACAGTTTTTCTACGTGTGGATAAGACATGAAATTGTTTTCAAGCTGTGTTACCTTTGTAATATGATAGCAATTTTCTCATGGACTTGATGAACGCATTCATGCAGGTCACATTCAGTCATTCATATTTGGTATCTCTCAGTCTTAACGACGTTAGGTCAAAACGCATTTTGAGGCAAAGAATAATGAATATTATTTCGTTGAAATCAAATTTCCTCGATTGTCGTTCTTCGAGTGAGAGCTATACTTGTCCCTTTTTTTGAGAAAGGGAATAGACTAGAATGACTCATTACACATTTATTGACGAGAGAAGAGACAACACCTCTGTCAAAATTTGCATGAAACAGCCGCACCCCCATGGTATTTTCCCTCATCAAAATTTTGAAATAGAGTTTACATCCAAATCCGTCGACGAGCGGTTGGATATATAAAGAAGAGACTCCCCCGTCATGATGGTGATCACGAATGGAAACCATGGTTACACCGCTTATTATACACAATGAGGTTAATTTTTCACGGGGAACTGATCAAGCGAAAATATATTCTTTAATGAACGTTTATTAAAATCATAATGCTACCACAGCTAAGGCGCCAGCTCATCCACTTTTTCTGGCTCTGTCTAAAACGTGAAAAAGCTGTACCACGCTTCCTTATAAACTCACGATTTATTCGCTTGATTCAACAATTTTGCTACTACGCTTCAGTTGACTCCCACTCACAACTCTCGGCTTATTAGAAGGAAACACACTCAACGTCCCGTTGTAAGCACCTGGAACAGTGCCATATATAGGACGATAAAACACGTGCTGCATACAGGTTTGCTTAGTTATGTATAAATAAACGAAATCCCTCATAAATGTCAATCAAATTGACAATAATTAACGTATCTTACAGTTTCCAACACTCTCCTCTATACGACTTGGGAACAAGGCATATGCAAGTGGAACTGACTCTATGACACAACAAGAAATAAGTAAAAAAATGATTTTTCTTTGATAACCACATTCAAGTGTCTTGCTCTACAATGTCCTGTATTCGCTGACGTGCTGCCTCAGCAGCATCTCGTTGCAGCCGGAACTCCACTGCAGTTCGGTCTAAAGGTGTGTCATTACAAGGCGTGGGGTTTCGGTCGCACGACAACTCCAATGGGTGGAGATGTTGGATTGGGCGTTCCATGAATCCTCTGCTTGCTCTTAATTTCGCTGCCCTAACAACACCATCTCGTCCAGTGAATAATGATTGCGGTTTCACTCATCAGCCTTAATGATAACAACGGACAAGCTGTTAGGATTGGTCTTATGTTTAAGTTGAGCTCTCTCTCTCAAAGCTCTAAGGTATTCCGTGGTCTAACGACGCCACATTGTATCTTTGGTAGCTTTCAAAAATTTCGCACGTTTCCTCTAGTCCCGGTCTTCAAGACGATGTGGCTCGAGCTCAGGAAAAATGTTACCATTCAGAAACAGTAAGGAGTTAGGTGTTAGTGTAGGGGATTGCGGGTCATCCTCCACTTAACTAAGGAGTCGCTGGTTAAGCTACACTTCGATGTCAAGGACTACCTCGCAGAGCTCGTCCCAGCTTAGTAGACCCTGACCCACAGACTTGTAGAATGAAGACTTAAATAAGCCAATAAGTCTTTCGAAGTGTCCTCTCCACCACAGCGCTCTACTCACATTAAAGCACCAAGTAAAGGATTGATCACTCAAGAATGAGTGGAAGTCCTCATCCTCCTTCACTTTCGTGAGCCATTTTGCCGCAGCTGTGAACGTAGAACCGTTGTCTGAGTGGACAAGGGATGGTCGATCCCTCCTCGCGATCAGACGTTTAAAGCTCTTGATATATTCGCCCGTCCCTAGGCTGGGAA